AAACCCAAGGAGGGGTCGCTATGAGTCGGGGCCGACTCGACGGCACGTAACAACAACAACGAAGTGCAATGGAGCACTTGCTAGCAGTTCAGCTTGAAGTGGCCCAAAATGATCCTGAACCATCTTCTTCCTCCCTCTTCACCTTCCACCACTGCTGCCAGCACCCATGTGTGTGTGCCCACCATGCATACAAATACAAGTGGACACACACACACACACGGGAAGTCTACTTTGAAAGACCAGTGATACCAGCTAGATAGGTGCTCCTTTACGTTCTACAGAAAGGAAGGTAATGGTGATGGTCAAAGTCAGAGCACAAAATTGCCCCCCTATGGCTTTAGGAATCTACCCACATCCCCAAGCTACTGCAGGGGGGGACTAGAGAGTGACTCAGTAAGGCAAGAGTTGGTTTTTGGTTTTTTTTTTAAACTGGTGCTTAAAAAACACCTGATGCTTTTATTGCCTCCAAAAGACTCACCTTCACCTGCAGCCTAGAGAAACTCAATTTTGGAGGCAAACCAGGCTGGTTCTTCAATTCTGTTTAATGTCCATCTATTGTTTATTTTACCAAGTATCAAATGTGACTCACCCAGAAGCCCTCTTCCCTACCCACACTCCTAGTCACACTCCCCACACTCAGGGGTGGCCCTTGAGATTGTATAATCAATTATAATGTTCTTGAAACATCCCTAGATTCATGAAGAAGCACAAGGTAATTAATTAACCACTTCACTGTGAGATCAGACAGGATGGTGGGTATTGGTCCCAGCTGGGTGGGGTGACCATTAGGAAGGAGCAGTACAGAGAAATAGAGGGATTCAGGCAAGAAGCACCTGGTCCCCTTCACAGTGAAACTGGACTAGATACAATTGTTCAATGAGGGACATTGATACAAGCTAAGACAATTCACTTTTCAAATCAGTGAGTAACTACTTTTGGTTCCATAAGGATATAAATTTCTTTTCCAGATACATTAACATCCATTATTATTGCACAAATGTTTATGTAAAGTGGGTCACATCACACACGTTAAAGCACAAGTATGCAAAACTTTATGTTAAATCTAATTGCATGTGCTTAGCCAATGACGGATATTAGACCTTGCCAAACACAGGGATCCCAGTGCATTACATAAGATCTCACCTTTTCTTTGTCTTTTTCTAGTTATCACTGAAACAGTAACTACAAGACTTACATCCTTACCTCCAAGTAAGTGACTATCTCCATAGCCTTCTTCTCCGTAAGTCATGTGTGAAGAACTCCACACATAAAACCTTCTCCACGGAGCTCACTCTCCAGCTGAGCAAATCCAAAATAGTTGAAATCTTTTTTTAACAACTATATTAAGACATAATTTACATGCCATAATATCTACCAGTTTTAATGTATGATTCAATGATTTTTAACATATTTTTAGTAGATTTATGTTGCTGTTGTTATTTGCTATCGACTCTGACCCGACTCATAACGACCTCTCCTTGGGTTTCCGAGGCAGTATCACTATGGAAGTAGATTGTCCAACCTTCCTTCCGAGGAGTGGCTGGTGGGTTTGAACCACCAGCCTTCTTGTTAGCAGTCAAGTGCCTTAGGCACTATGCTACCAGAGCTCCTAGTGTTTTTATAGAGTTATGAACTATCACTACAATCTAATTTTTTATTATTCCATCACTCCAAAAAGAAACTACATGACCATCAGCAGTTACTCATTCCCCCTTTCCCTCCTCTCACCTTCTAGAAACCACAAACCTACTTTCTGTGTCTATAAATTTGTCTGTTCTGGACACTAAAATATCTGGAATCTTATCCAACCTGAGAATGAGGAGAGGGGAGAGGGGAGAGGGGAGAGGGGAGAGACTCACCAGACAAGCTTCTGTTTGAGTCCACTTTTCTCCAGGATGGTCCTTAGGTTTAATGGATTCTGTAATAAAGAGATCTGACCCCTACAGCTCCTCCCAGGGAGCCCAGCTCAAAGGTGGCGGGAAGAACTCACACATCAGCAGGTGAGACAAGAGAAGTGATGGGCTGCCAGACAGAATGTCAGCAACGCAGAGCTGTCACTTGTCCCTGCCTTGAGCCATGTCTGGAGCACTGACCAAGCATGTGGACTAAACAAGCTCAATTTAGGTCCCGGCCTGAAGGAGTTTTCATCACTCAGCTGCCTTTGCTAATATTTAGACTATCCTAAAGGAGCTCTGGTAGCGTAGTGCCTAAGGCACTTGACTGCTAACCAGAAGGCCGGTGGTTCAAACCCACCAGCCACTCCTCAGAAGGAAGGTTGGGCAATCTACTTCCGTAGTGATACTGCCTCAGAAAGCAAAGGAAGGGTCACTATGAGTCAGGTCCAACTTGATGGCAAATAACAACAACATCAATGAGCAACTTACTATTCTCCACACAGAAGGCTTTCTTTTTAAATATAGTGGAATAATCACTCTTGACATTTGTATTAAAATCAAAGAAATAATGCCTACCTTGCAGTGTAGGACAAAACAACCCTGGGAAAACGATTCCAGACCAAGAGGGTCTTTGGTGAGGAGGAGGGAAGACTTCCACAGGCCAACCAATGAGGAGGCCCACTGTCCTGACTCCACCCCTAAATTGCCTTTTCTTGTCTCTGGTAGAAGGAGGAACCAGCAATGGCTACTCTAAAACAGGCTCTCTTGGTGGAGGGAGCCGACTGGAGAAACAGAGCCTGACGCATGGCAGCAGTGGCTACATCAACTCAAGTAAGTGCCTCCTGGTGGAAGGGGGTGTGGGCAGGGAGGGAAAGTCCTGCAAAGGAGGTTTGGTGGACGGTGTCATGGACTAGTATGAGGAGAGGGACAATTCCAGCAGCTATCATCCATTCCAAATGCCTTCCATTTCTGCTAAGTCCCCAGTAGAAATAACAAGAATTAAGAAGGTTTCATGGGAAAGTGAGTGTTTTTCCAGTGAATCACTCTCTTTAAGCCGTCTCTGTAGAGAAGGGTGTGCACTTCTGAGGGTTTACAATTTGAACTACCAACAACCAACAACAAAAGAAACTTAATGATTGAGTTACTGTTCTAAGGGAATCTGGTGACATATGACCCTACATGGCGCAAGTTTCCACCAGGCTAGCATCCAACACAGGTTCATTGTTCCCAATGCAACACACTCTTTCCTGGTAGCTTTCAAACCAAAACAAAACAAAGTGAAGCCAGGCAAAACAAACACAAACACACAATCCCTTAAGCTGTTTTTAAAACCTAGTGTGAAGCTAATAGAGAAGACTCAAGACATATAAATGGCTGGATTGACCAAAAGTCACACCTCTCCTTACCTGTTGAGGAGCATGTCCATAGCCAGTTACATTCTAGCCCATCTATTAATCTACAATGAAATGCCAGGTCCTCAAGAAAAGCCCTGCCGAGTCCTCTCCACTGCCATGCACTGTAACCATGTATGTAAATGACATCCTTGCCTTAAGTGGTCTGCTTGGACAGGGAAGCAACAATAGTGCTAGCTTTCTATGTCTGAATAGCCATGGGGACCCTGACCCTTTCGAATGTGCTCTCCCGACCTCCCCTGGTCCTTGCTATGAGGCCTTCATTTCATCATGGGTAGCCTGAATATACTTATAACTGGATTTCAATTTGATTAATTTCCGATGGAGTACCGTGAGGATTTACTCTTTCTCCCACTTACAGGTGGAAGCATAAGAGGCAACGCCTCTACCTCCAGTTACAGGAGGGCTCATTCACCTGCCTCGACTCTGCCCAATTCACCAGGCTCAACCTTTGAAAGGAAAACTAATGTCACCCGCCGTGCAACATACGAAGGTATCAATCCCACAAACCTTAGAACAGACCCATTGTCTTCCCCAAGTAACTTCATTCATCCTTTGAAGATTTAAGTATTGGCCACCTGTGTTCATCTGTGTCTGTCCCTTATCTTTCTTTCCACTCCACTTTCATTTCTTTTATGGATTCACATTACTTGAAGATTTTTGGTCATTCATCCATCCCCTTATTCATTTGTTTATTCTACTAGTATTTAGTCAAATATCTATCATGTGCTTAATAGTGTGGAATGCCTTGATGGATACTTAAATGAATTAGACATTGGATCTTGTCTTCAAGGCACATATACTCTGATAAACAAGTTAAGGTGGTAAATATAAAACTACAATGCAAAGTAGGAAGGGATTACTCTTTTCAGTTGAGGAAATCGGGGAACACTCTCTGGAAATGGTGGTGTTTGAGCTGAGCTGTCACTATGTGTAAGATTTTGACACCCAGATGGGAAAGACAGGGCACTTCAGGCTGAGGGAGCAGCAGCATAGACAAGGATGGGCAGGGCTTGAATAAGAAGCAGCAGCAGGTACTTACGTGAAGAGGGATTGAAGGGCCCAGATTAAATGCTAGGCTAGAATGCTTAGACTTTATTCCATATGAAATGGGAGCAAAAGAGTCAATCATATTTAAGGTGCAGGACTGGAACTCTGGAAACTATGTGCATGGTAGACTGGTGGGAAGGAGACTAAACATGAGGTGACAAGTTAGAAGGCTCTCTGCAGTAGCCCAAGGGAGGGAAAATTTGGCTGGGACTAGAGCAGTAGCAGTGGGAGTGGAGAAGAGCTGGAGATGGAAGGTATGGTTAGGTGGAACTGACAGGTGCGGCAATTGATTAAACTGGAAGAAATTGAGTCAGCAATTCCACTGAGGTTTCAGACAAGATGGTTGGGCCCATGGGGGCACCATCAATTGAAACAGGGGATTCTACTTGGTTGAGTTAGTTATTTTATCCTGAAATGAGGTTCTTGCACAGCTTTCAGACACATAGGACTTAAGCTAACAAGTGATCAGTGGGACACATAGGACTTGAGCTCAGGGAAGAGGTCAGGACCAAGATGTCCAGTTGGGAATTAATCATTCACAAGGAACCAGGGGAATGAAGGAGTTTACCAAGGATGAGAGTATAAATGCAGAAGGGAGCAAAGAAAGAGAAAGCTGGGAAAAGGAGAAAGAAGAGGAAGAGAATTGAGGGAGGAAAAAAGAGTGAGTGGTGGGGACCAGGAGACCAAGAACATGCAGCATCCTCCTTGTTGAAGTCAGCACAGGGAGTGCTCTGGATCAGGAAGGAGAAGGTCTGGGAGAAGGCTTTGGGGTTCGTTGCTACAATTACTGGCATTCTTGGTAATCTGCAGGAACCGTTTTAGTGGGAAACCAACAAGCCAGGTGGCAAATGGGGTTTAATAGTGAGTGGAGATGAGGAATGTGAGAGAGAAGCAGGTTAAAGGACTAGATATCCCAGTAAATTACTTGGGTGAGCTGGAACCTCAGACCCAGGGTCTGTCCTGGAGTTTCAGAAGGAGAACTTCGAAAGGGTATTTGGAGCCTAAAATCCAGGCAAGGTGTCACTGCCCATGCAGCGTCACCACAGTGGTTTCTGAACGGTACCTTGATCTTCATTTTAACAGGGTCAACATTCGTGACTAGCATCACAAGATCAGGGATGTCCCTGAACATATATTTGATGGGAAAAGTCACCTGTACTACCTCTAGTACAGGCCAAATGCAGTTCAGAAAATGGGGCTGGGGGGAGGGTAGTAAGAGAGAGAGAGAGAGAGAAGGAACCCTCTGGCTCTCCTTCATTCATATCCTGTCCCATCTGAAATAAAAACTGGTTTTCATAATGAAGTTACAAGCAAGTCCAAATAGGCAAGTCCTGCTTTAAATCATGAGCCTGATGCATTTGCACTGTCACTGATGAGCACCTCTCCTTTACCTCCTGAAACATCGAGGGCTGTGGATGTTAAGAAAGAAGTGACCGGGCACCACCCGTCCTCTGGAAGCCTTACGGGTCTGTGCTCATTTGTACTAAGTGTGTTATCCTCTGTCCAGGGAGCTCCAGTGGAAACTCTTCCCCAGAGTGCCCGCGGAAAGAATTTGGTATGTTCTTTCCTTATTTTCTGAAGAAAGGGTCCAGTGAGGCTCTGGGGAAATGCCCAGGGGTGAGGGGACATCATGAGTTAAATGGATTCTTTCTAAAATGGATTCTCTCTGTTGAACTGTTTTCCTTAGCCCTTTATCTGGAAGCATCCTAAGGGAACGATCAGCCACATTAACTTGCTGTCATAGGCTCATAACACTACTCAAATGGCAAGTTATTTATACAAAGCTCAGGCTTGGACAGATCCTCCCCTATGGCCAAAAAACATTTGTGGAAGGATTTTTTCCAAACCTTCCAGTGCCTGAACTACAGCTTGATTCAAAGCAGGGCTTCAAACCGGTTCAAACTGGTTCAGTCATGGCCAACAAAGCAAAACTGGAACAGACCCAAATTTTTCAAATTTGGATGATCCAGAACGCTAAGTAGAATGGGAAAGGTGTCCAAGCTCTGGAATGAGAGACTCAGAAGAGACGTATTGAGCCCTTTCAGGAGCCTGTTGCATGACATTGGACTATTGCCAGGACTGTGGAGAGGAATACGCTCAAGGTGGTGGACTTGGTTGCCATATTTAAACCAGGCACTGTGTTTTGGACGCAATTGATCCAGAGATTTAGTTGCTATGCAACACTCATGCTGCCCTTGTTTTCTAAGAGGATGATTAAGTTTCTAGTAGGGTTTTGACCCAAGATATTTCCTGTTCCAGTTAGCATTCCTATTTACCCACATTTTAAAAATTTGGATCTGTTCCAGTGTTGTTTTATCGGCCGTGACTGAGCCAGGCCAAACCGATTTGAAGCCCTGCTTTAAAGGGCACATTTTATGTCTTGCAAAATCCTGGGCTATATGCACACTTGGCCTTAAAGTCCTTGGTCTGTGTCATTGGGATTTCATTGTGCATATAAATTGAGATATGACCATTGATTGCACCCTTATTATGATGTTATTTATTTATTTGCTTACAGTGGGAAAACCAAGGGAGTCTCTAACAAAAAATTAAGGGGAAGATTGGGAGCCTTTTGATACATCGATCAATGTGGTCAGCCAATCCAAGTGGGTCATGCTCCCACATGCCTGAACTGATGTGTCATTTAACACCTATGTGGTCATCATTTATTAAGTCTCACTGTACATAAAGGCATAAAGAGCTCTGGTGGTGTGGTGGTAAGACATCTGGCTGCTAACCAGAAGGTCAATGGTTCAAACCCACCAGCTGCTCCATGGGAAGAAGATGAGGCAATCTACTTCTGTAAAGATTTACAGCCTTGGAAACCCAATGGGGGTTTGGAATTGACTCAGTGACAGTGGGTTTGGTTTTGGTTTTATACATAAAGGTTGCTGCATGGATAGAAACATACTATGAAAACAACGCCCCCCCATATGTCTACCTCCATGCCAAAAATATTCAGCATGTCACCTTTCAGATATGCTTAGATTATTGGTTTTTCTTTTTCTCAGCATCTTCTTCAACTAGAGGACGGAGCCAAACACGAGGTGAGTTCAAGCACTGGGTTCAGTTCGGTTCACTCAACAAGTATTTTCTGAGCAGATACTCATGTGCCCAACCTTGACCTACGAGCTAGGAAGTGTGAGGAGGACAGAAGAATCCATATGGCATGGTTTTTGCCTTCAAGGAGCCTGCAGTATCCTGGGACTCCCTTGCTGGCTATCAGGATGGGAAGGGGAGTGTAGGACAATGGTTTAAATATGCGGAATCAAACACTTGGTTATGATCTGGGGGAGAGCTTGTTGTGCCATGGGTTATCTAAAGATGTGAGTGCCATATCTAGTTTCACTTCTAGTCTCCTGTTTGGCTTTAACAAGATGATGCTTTAATTGCCTTTATGCATCAAAAGTTGAACAAAACCTTTCTTTTTCAAAATATTCCAAGGGATGGACACTTTTGTGTCCACTTTTGCTCCATGACAGTTTTTGCAACTTCCTCATCTGCCCATGGACAGGCATAAAGCAGAGAAGTGTTGTCCTGGGAAAAGCTGCCCTTGATAAACTTGGGTGAGGGTAGCAAGGAACAGCATGTTAGACTGTGCTAAAGATCTCAGGAAGTTCTGGAATGACAGCCGGGACCTCCTGAGGGCCTTTTGTCATCAATAACTTGAAAGTTAGGAACACACCAAACACCCACAACTTTAGGCTGAAAGTTCAAGGACGCAGATTCCCCAACTAAATCTAACTAATAACATTCAACTATCAACTCCCTGACCTTCCCATTTCTGAGAAGTCCAAAATGGCTAAACAAACACTACAGATTTTAGAATTCTCTCTTCAACGTCGAGAGACCAGGAGGCAGGAGAGACATTTACTTCTGGCAACTGAAATCGGTGGTAGGGAGAGGGGCTGGTCATTGTTCATTGAAATGGAGCCTTCTTGCAGAGCCTGGGATTTCATTAGAATGTCTCATGAGATCAAGAGGTGTGCAGTTGGCAGGTTGGGTGGCAGGAGGGGTGTCTCTTTGAAGCAGCACTCTTTCTGGGCACACATAAGGGCCCTGTTCCCAGAACAGAGATCTCAGTGCAGCCCAAAGAGCTGTCTGCACTCAGAGCTCACTGTTGGGGCCATGGTCCAAATTCTTTCCTTCACAGTGTTCCTCACCTCTTCCCTTCTACAGAGAGTGAGATCCGAGTTCGATTGCAGAGTGCTTCCCCATCTACCCGATGTAAGTGGTCACCATCCTGCTGAAAGGAAAGGATCCAGGAACTCAGGGCCACTGTCTAAAGGCTAAAGCTGTGGGGGGGGGGGGGGGGGTGTGTGGGGGGTAGTGTGCATGGATGTTCACATTCACTCAGCCATAAAACATTCTTTACCAGGAGCTAAGTAGGTCACAGTCCCTAAACTTAGTAGTTCACAGACTGGTGGGAAGACAGCAATCAACCACCCATTGCAGCACAGCGGGAGAGAGGTCAGCTGGATGAGGTGGGGGAGCACAGAGGAGCGGCAGCTCTGGAACAGCCTAAGAGATGGGAACTGGCACAAGGGGCCAGAGAAACATTCCTGGGGTAGGCCCATCAGTGTTAGCTCAGAGAAAGGAGCCAGCGTGGAACACTGGAGGAACAGGAAGCAGTTCAGTGTGACTGAAGGGGGATACAATAGGAAAGTTAAGATTAAAGAAAGGTCAGAAGCCAGAACCTGAGTGGCTCTGTGCCCTAAATGTAAAGAGTTTGACCTTTGTCTTAAACATCAGGGATCCCGCAATCTCTTAAATATGTTAGACTCCTGTTGTTCTTGTCAGAAGTTATGTGACAACATTTTGAAATGGGCCAAATTTTAGGGCTGGAGCCAAGTACAGGCATACCTGGAGATACTGTGAGTTCCCTTCCAGCCCACTGCATTAAAGCAAGTCACATGATTTTTTTGTTTTCCCAGTGCGTATAAAAGTTGTGTCTACACTAGACTGTAGCCTATTAAGTGTGCAACAGCATTATGAAAAAGCATGCAATATCATAAGAATTACCAAACGAGTCACAGACATGAAGTGAACATACACTGTTAGAAAAATGGCACTGATAGACTTGCTCCAGGCAGGGTGGCCACAAATCTTCACTTTGTAAAAAAAAAAAAAAAAAACCCTCAATATCTGCAAGGTGCAATAAAGCAAAATGCAATAAAATGAAGTATGCTTGTACAAGGAAGAGGAGGAGAGAGAACTCAGTCAGGCAGCATAGGAAACAGACTTGGGCTTGTCCAGAACAGGGCCTGGGATTTTAGGAGCTGATTCCAGACTTGCTATTTTCTCACTTGAGTTCTTTAGGCCTCGGGGGTGCTGAACCCAAGAGAAGGAGCTTTCAGCAGAGGGACTGACTCAGCACATGTTGTCTGAAAACCTGTTTGTTCCACCTTATGCACTGCCCTTGCACAATGCCTCCGAACTCTCAAGTTCACCCTGCTTTGGGAGCTTGCTCATTTGGTTTGATTATGTCCTTTGACATAATCTTGGCCAGATCGACTTGAGCTTAAATCACATGGAAGCAGCATAATGTTTAGGAATTATGGACCACAAATTCCTTTTTACTCTCCCAGGCATACAAGGTCAAGGACCCGCCAGAGGTGTCCTATGCAGGAATTGAGATTACTGTTGAACCATTTGTTTCAAGGGAGCTGGTTATTTAACTGCCCAGATAAAAATCTCCACCTCCTCGCCATGGCCATAGAATCATCCTTGTGGTGTCCTGATGAGATCTAATTAGGAAATATCTACTGAGGACTTTGACCTCTTTTTGTGAGAGGCCCATATTCATGAGACTGTTAATTTCACAAAGTGCCAAGTTGATAAGTGTTATAAATTGGCAAAATGCAAAAATGACAAGGCTAACTGAAAATGTCTCAGGCTATCAAGCATATGCCATCCTTCCTAATATTCACAGTGCCATAAAGTGCCCCTACCCCTGCAGGTGGACTCAGGAAGGGATCCTAGGCCCTGTTGAAAAACTTTGGAGTTCTTTTACAGGGACAGAATTGGATGATGTTAAACGCTTGCTCAAGGGGAGCCGATCAGCAAGTTCAAGCCCCACACGGAACTGCTCCAACACACTCCCCATTCCCAAGAAGGGCACCGTGGAGACCAAAACGGTGACAGCGAGCTCCCAGTCGGGTAAGCCCAACAGGCTGGGGCTGCAACAGAGGCAAGGCAGCAAGGTGACAGATACACCCAGGCCCAGGAATTCAACCTGGCAGGCTTTTCCAGAGACCTCACAAAGCATTGGGCATCTCCTCTTCAAGCAATGTGAAAACGTGGGCTTCTTACCCCTGTCTGGTCAACCGTCCTACCTGCACTCTGTGGCTCACCTCTAGATCCACCGATTTCTATACTAGGAGATTCTTAACAGTAGAATGTGTTGACCAGGTTACCCAAATGAAGAATTTTGGTGAAAGTTACAGTGTTTTTACTCATTCCTTCAACAGTATTTGTTGCATGCCTACTTTATGCTGAGTGTCAGGCACTGAGGAAAAGCAATGAACAAGATAGACATGGTCACTGCCCTTATGTCTCTGAGGGAAGACGGTTAACCACGTGATCACAGTCAAGTAGGATGTGTGTTGCTCAGCACACAGGTATTAAGTGCATAACAAGTGCAAAGGAGGTTCTGTGAGAGGCAGAAAGGTGAATAAGACAGATGCCTAGAGGGATATGAGGAGAGAAGGCAGGTTGGCTATGGCCTCAAGCATTCTGCTCATTCATTGCTGGAAACATGCAAGAGACTGTGATCTTTTGTTTGTTTTTTAATATCAAAATAAAACCTCTGGGCACATTATGGCTTGCATGGCTAGCTCCCTATCAGATGATGAACAGGCAGAATTGGCTTCAGATATGAAGAAGCATGAAAACCCCCTCCTGGGTGCAGAGGGCCCGTTGTGTCTGGTTGGCACATAGGAATATTGTGGTGCCATCCTGCCGTGTGGTCTCAGAACCAAGGTCAGGGCATATATCCTGCACTTGCCACGGTGCCTAGGATTCTGCCTTCAGAGATTTGTCCCTGGGGTCTCATTCACTGGTCCTGAGAGAGGTGCTACTTGGTTTCTTTGAAGGTGGAGGAGCCAGTGATAGGTTAAGAGTAAGACCATGGGTGGCACCCGCACATCAGATAATGAGGAGAGGGTCTTAGAAGATGAAATGGGTGGACCCCAGAGCAAAAATTAGCCAACTTAAATCTCACAAAGAGCCAGCAAGAATTTCTAACTCAAGAGATCAAGTTTTCACTGGCTCTGAGATTTCAGGCAAAAGTGGGCTGACCAATTTTTGGCCAGTTTGCCAGGGACTAAGGGGCTTCCCAGGACATGAGGCCTTCAGTGCTAAAAGCGGGAAAGTCCCAGAAAACTAGGAAAAGTTACCCCCACCCCAGTGCAGAAATGTTGGTTTGCCCTTCACTGGGACGTGCATGTGTCTGTTTCCAGTGTCTGGCACCTACGACACGACAGTCCTGGATGCCAACCTTCCCTCTCATGTGTGGTCCTCCACCTTGCCCGCGGGGTCCTCCATGGGGAGCTATCACAACAACATGACAACCCATAGCTCATCGCTCCTCAACACCAATGCCTATTCCTCAGGATCAGGTATGTGACTACGCACACCCCTCCCACCCCTGAACCCTCAATTCCTTGACCTTGACCGCTCCATAGTTTACCATCTCCAGGGCTTCCTGGACAAGCTTTTTGTGACCAACTGTCCCAAGATTCTTCCACCGGAACTTCAATTCAATCCAATTTATAAAGTGTTTCTCCTGGTAGTTGGATCTTACTCATAGTGTCCCCTCCTTGGGTTTCCAAGAGGGTATCACTATGGAAGTAGATTGCTCCATCTTCCTTCTGAAGAGTGGCTGGTGAGTTTGAACAGCCAGCCTTCTGGTTAGCAGTTAAGTGCCTTAGGCACTATGCTACCAGAGCTCCTATAGTATAGTACAGTGTATCAGAAAAAAAAAAAAAATTGTAATTGAAAACAAAAGCAGAAAACCTAGTTTCACTTCACCTGAATTAACTGTGTGACCTTGAACAACTCCTTCACTTCTCTGGGCTTCAGGTACCTTTGCTGTAAAATGGGGGAACTAACAACCAAGAGCCTTTGGATAGATCCAGTGTCCACTCAAGGTCTTACTTTCCAAGATCACTATTTGTCTGTGACTCAAAAGTTCACCACAACTAATATTTGGCTCTCTGCTCCAAGGCAAGAGACAAAATTTATCCTAATATCAAAAATTTAACAAAATACAAAAACTCAATCCTGGTATCTGTTCCAGTTCTCTCATGGTACTTGAGTCTTTGCCTCTGTTCTGGGCTAGACATCCCTCTCACCAGGCTTCCTCCTCCCCTGCAGTCTTTGGAGTTCCAAATAACATGGCATCCTGCTCTCCAACGCTGCATCCTGGACTGAGCACCTGTTCCTCAGGTCAGTGCTTACCATCACGGGTTGCCTTTTCTAGGCTACTGGATTAAAAAGGAAAGATGTTCTCTCCTAGTGAGGAAAGGAAATGGTTTCTAGAGAAATTGTCCTTTCTGCCCAACAGCATGTGTGACTTTCCCCCTTGCCCACTATAACACAGAAGCAGAAGCCATGGAGGTGCATTCAGAGGGCAGGAGGCACAGATCCTGCCTTTGGTCACAGATAGAACTCAGTACCTCAAGGGAAAGTTGGGCAGAGGGAAGGAGGGCTCAGACACTAGACTTCCATGCTTTTCTGCACTGATACCTTTATTTTCTGTGTTGTTGTTGTTGTTGTTGTTATGTGCCGTCGAGTCGGCCCCGACTCATAGCGACCCCTCCTTGGGTTTCCGAGGCAGTATCACTACGGAAGTAGGATTGCCCAACCTTCCTTCCGAGGAGTGGCTGGTGGGTTTGAACTGCCAGCCGTCTGGTTAGCAGGCAAGTGTCTTAGCCACTATGCTACCAGAGCTGGAAGCAAAAGGCCTAAGTGAGTGATGGCTTGGAACATTTTCAGGTGAAAATACATTGTTAATTTAGGATTTTATTTCATGTCTTTTGAATTTGAATAACCAGTTATAAATATATCAGTTCATTGTTGGCTCAAATAATGTTACTGCTTATCTTCCTAGGCAAGCATATAACAAGAACATTTAGTCATTGTATTTCCACACACGTTGTAATGATATTACGTTGTGTGGACCTAACTACTCAGTAAACAGAACTGTTAGTAATCTCTTTTGGCCTAGGGTGGAGAGTGAGGACATGCAAACAAACTACTGAGACACTAAGGGTGCCAGGTACTGAGAAAGTTTGGGAACATCTGTCAGACACAAAGCTTTTATCATGAAAGCGGTTTGGGGGTTCCAGGAGAGCCTGCCTTTGAGGGGCCTCCCCTATACACTGCACCCTGTGCTCAACCATCCTCGATTTCTTTGACAGTGTTTGGCATGCAGAACAATCTGGCCCCCAGCTCGACCACCCTGTCACATGGCACAGCCACCACTTCCACAGGTCAGTAGCCTGGATTTAGAGTTTAAGGGCTGGAGAGTAGCACCCCTTTACAGCTACGACTCACAATATCCTTTTTGAGTGTTCCTTAAAATTAATTGACCTTTCCCACCAAATAAACAATTCCCCTCCAACCTAGAAATGGTGGTCCTGACCATTTGCTGCCTCAACCATGAATGAAATGCAGAAGGGAGCCTGCACTTTCAACAGCATGTACATCTTATAGGGAGTCACCTGTATGTCCTTTTGTTCTCTCACAACCAAACTGTGTGGGCTGCCAGTCTTGTCATTTCACCACTGTCCTGGACAGCCAATTGTCACTATAAATCAGTGATTGGTTGATTTTTAGGGTTCAACTCCCAGGCAACTGCTCCTGTGCAGACCTGGGGTTGAGAAGGTGGGTGGCATGAGTCAGAAGAGGCGTGAGGGTGAGCCTTTGTCCTCAACTTACTTAGTGTTTAGTTGAGGTAGACAGTCTAACATACATGAAACAATTAGGGGATTCTATAAGGCAACATAAAGAGCCCTGGTGGTACAGTGGTTAAGCCCTTGGATGCATAGCAAAAGGTTAGCAGTTCAAACCCATGAGCCAGTCCATGGGAGAAAAGACCTGGTGATCTATTCCCAAAAAGATTATAGCCTAGGAAATCCTATGAGGCAGTTCTGTTCTGTCCTATAGGGTCACTATGAGTTGGAATCAATGGCAACAGGTTTTGGACAAATTAAGTGATACGTTGTCCAGAGCAAGTGTTAGGAACCATGGAGTTCAGAAGGAAAGGAGACATGTGAAGGTCTGGAACATGGAGGGGGTAGCCTTTGGGATGGACCTAAAAGGATGAGGAGGATTGCACCAAAGAAGGTTCAATCTAAACCCTCATCTCTATTCATCTGGCAGGAGAGAGTTGGTTACATCATCTAGTTCTCAACTGGAGTGGCTGCCCCTCGGCCAGGGCTGACCTGGCTGCTCCTAACTGCATGGAGGCACCCTTCCTGCTGGCCAAGCTTACTCAGTCATTTCTCTCTTACAGCATATGGTGTCAAGAAAAACACGTCCCAGAGCCCTACTGTAGTGAGCACCGGCATGTCCACCTCTGCCGGTAAGTGTGCTGCTCCAACTCCTGGGGGTCAGGCTGTATGTGGGAGAATTGCTCTGCAGTGAACATATGGCACATTACAGACCCACTGGTGGTCTGAGGTCTGCAAACGTAATCATTCCAAGAATCTTGTGCATGTTGCCATGAGTAAGCCAAGATGAAAATCCACCTGACCAAACTCTGGCCTTCCTGTCAGAGGGCACAGGGAACTCCACCTTCCACACACGCCTCGAACCAGCCACTACCTTTTCCTGGCCTTCTCCTGTTACGTGGAGCCCATCACAAGCCCCTCTAAAGCTTCTAAGCACCTTCCCGGCTTTCTGAAGGTTCTTTATCTACTTGGGCTCACAACCTCACAGTGGGCTATTTCCTCAATCACTAGGATCCTACTGTGCTTCCTTCCACTGAAGAATTCATTCATTCAAAAAAATATTGACTGAGCACCGACTTTGTTTCAGACAGAGTGTTCTGTGTGCTGAGAGTATAGTGATGAACAAGATAGGCTAGATCCCTGACCTTACCAAGCAATTCCAGCAATTCCAATGGAGGAGACAGATGATGAACAAGTAGACAAATATGTATACAAGATAATTACAGAAAATGATCAGTGTTTTTAAGGACAGAAATAAATGTGATATGATAAAGACAAGAGTTATATATATGAGATTAGGTGCTTAAAATGGGGTGGCGGGAAAGGCCTCCCTGAGCAGGTAACATTTGAGATCTGAAGGATAAAAAAGAATCTGCCAAGTTAGTAAAAGAGGGTCCTGACTGGCAAGGGGGACTTCTGTACATTATCTAAAGATCCTGTAAATCTCTAGGTTGGAGACAGCCCCATAGGCCAGTATCCATCGTTCTGACATTTAGCCAACCGCCTGATGGCAAGGCCTAGCCAAGTCGGGGAGAGATGTTTGTGGCCCCCAAGAAGCTTCATAATTACCACTGTCAATGACAGTAGGAGGCCCTCATGCACACTTGTTAATCTCTCCTTTTCCCTCTTCCTCCTTCTCCTTCCTCTTCTGTTCATTTCTCCCCTTTCCCCTCTCTTTCTCCACCACCCACATCCTGGGACCTTTCCCTTCCTCCTTCCCACTTCTTTCCTACCCAGCTTGCACCACAAGTGTCCAGAATGATGACCTTTTGCACAAGGACTGTAAGTTCCTGATTTTGGAGAAAGACAACGTGCCTGCCAAGAAGGAGATGGAGCTGCTGATCATGAACAAGGACAGTGGGAAGGTGTTCACAGCCTCCCCCGCCAGCATCGCTGCAAGTACGGTCACACAGAACTCAGGCTGTAGAAAAGGGGTAAATAGCAAGTGTCCTAGCACGGTGGTTTGCAATGGTTTCATAGTTAAACCACACTCATCCCATGCCAATGGAAAATGTCTGCCCCAATAGGGTGTCCCAGGATCTGCCTTGAATGCAGAGAAGCCAGGAAAATTCAGGCTAAGTGCTCCCTGAAGGACCTTTGGGCCATAGCAAGTGTCCTAGCTACACTCTAGGGTGGGAAGATTAACCCAGGAAAACTGAGCTCTCTTTTTACCAGACTAACCTCAACTTGCCAAAGCAGGAGAGGATATGGGGTAGGGATGAGGGTGGGAGTGAGGTGAGAACATACTGGATTATCATTGGTTTGGCACATAGCTTCTTTTTCAGAAGACACCCTTAAAAAAGAAAAGCAAGCCACCTACACTGATGACACCTACCTAAAGTCTGAAGCTAATGGTAAGAACAAATCAGATAGTGGTCCACCCTGACTTCAGCCCATCCAGCTCATTTATTTGGCCCATGAGACCTTGATGCTCAAGGTGGCTGTAGATGGGCAGCATCAGCACCACCTGTAGGAATGCAGACGCCCAGTCCCTACCCCAGACCTACTGAATCCCAGTTGGAATTTTAACAAGCTCCCCAGGTAATTCACATGCATGTAATTGAGGTAAAATCTTCCTCTGGTGTGTTTAAAGTCTGGGGTGGTATATTTTTTTTTTCTACCTCAACTGGCCCTCCTATAATTTTCAGAACTAATACAAAAATCCTTTGCAAAGCATTTTCTAGCTTTATTTTCTTTTCGTCCCAAATATCTGGATTCTTTCCTGGGTAACTGCATTTCCTCCTGGGTTCTGAGTCCTGTAGAATCTCTTCAAACCACCGATTACAGGGAGGTTAGTAAAGTAAGAGAAAGATTAAGCCACAATAATGACCAGAATTACTGGTCAGATGGAGTCTGGTGGGACCCCCAAGAGTATGGCCCTAGGATACACTTCAGGCCTGGGATAAAACTCACTCCCAAGGGCTGGCTCTCAGCCCAACAGTAAATAAGACTTACATGCAGAACACTCAACCCAGGGCCATGTACCCAGCTACTCTATGGAGAGACATCCCTTGGAGCAATCGGCCATGGGCACCAGAGGGACAACATTCACATGGAGGAAAAGCTGGACAGGAGTGCATAACTAAGAAGGGCACAGTGATGAGGGGGAGGGGGGTGTCACTGGGAAGGGAGAGGAGAAGACTGGGTTAGGGTTGGGGATGATAATTGGGGAGTGAAACCAAATGTACAGAAACTGTTGAATGTAAAACAAGTTCTCCTCTGTAAATTTTCCCCCAAAGCACAAAAAAAAAAAAGAGAGAGAGAGAGAGAGAGAAAGCTTAAGTTACAGAATGCTGTTAAATCAATGCAAAATTACAGCAATTACAATTCTGAGAAGGCAGGGGGATTGGAACCTGACTCTCAGAGAATCTCACAAATTAGCAGTTCTTTACATTTTAGAGGTGTAGATAGGGCTGTGGAGTCAGAAGACCCTTTTCAGAATCTGTTGGAAGCTGTGGACAATTTCCCAGGCAACTCCCCCACATTCCCACAGATGTCCAACTTTTAAGTAGCCAGGGATTCAAGCACAGCCCTCCACCAAGCCCATCATGTCTTTCTGGCTCCCTCCACCCCAGATGAGAAACAGCTGTTCAAAGTGCCATAAGTGAGAAATCAGTCATTTCTCACTTACTGCTTAAATGCAAATGTCACCCCAACAATCCTCGGGAAATGTTTTGTGCTTTAAAGACTTAAGGTCTCAAGAAAGTTAAAACACTGCTTTTCTCCACCATTGTTGTTGTTATGTGCCGTCGAGTCGGCCCCGACTCATAGCGACCCCTCCTTGGGTTTCCGAGGCAGTATCACTACGGAAGTAGGCTTGCCCAAACCTTCCTTCCAAGGAGTGGCTGGTGGGTTTGAATCGCCAGCTTTCTGGTTAGCAGTCAAGTGCTTTAGCCACTATGCTACCAGAGTTCTTTTAACTGTTTGTCAAACCATATTCATCAGTGTAATTATTAGTGCAAATATCTGATAAGTGAGGACAGGAATGGACATGCCTGTACTTTGCTGTTCTGCAAGGTGCCTGGGAGACATATTTACCTAAAGCCCTTCTAAAATCACTGGGGACAGGGCAGTCTTGGGGGCTCCCCCAGGATAAATGCTCAAGGGAAAACCTGTGTTCTCGGTGTTTGTGCTTTCAGGAGACCTGAAGACAGCATCCACCAAGGGCAAGCTCGCCTCTGCAGGTGGGTGAGAATGGCGAGTCTGCGAGTGATGAGAACCAACAGGGTTGGCTATGGTTAACAGAACTGACAATAGCCTCCTAGCCACCCATCTGTAGAGAGTTTCACTGAAGGCTCAGAGGGAGCAGGGGGAATGGGAGGGTGGGCAAACTATGGGCTTAGCTCAGGGCATGGTGCTTCAAGACCCTGCAACCCCAGCTCAGGGTACACTACATGCTCTTAGGTACAGGGTCTCCCAACAGGGCAGAAGAAACGTTACATGAATGTGTGTGTCTTTACAGAACCAACACAGACTCCAAGATGACACTATGAATTTCCTCCAAAAGTTAAATATAGGTTTACCATATGACCCAGGATTCCACTCCTAAAATACACCCAAGAGACTTGAAAGCAGGGACTCAAACATTTCTACACCAATGTTCATTGCAGCGTTATTCCCAATAGCCAAAAAGTGGAAACAACCCAAATGTCCGTCAGCAGATGAATGAATAAACAAATTGTGCTGTATACATACAATGGAATATCACTCAACAGTAAAGAGAAATGAAGTTCTGATACATACTGTAACATGAATGAACTTTGAAAACACTATGCTGAGTGAAATAAATCAGACACTAGACAAATATTGTATGATCCCACTTATATGAAATATCTAGAATAGGCAATGCATAGAGACATAAAGCATATTAGTGGTTACTAGGGTCTGCAGGGAGGGCATAGGATTTAATGCTTCATGGGTACAGTTTCTGTTTGGGGAAGCACCAACACTTTGGAAATGAATAGTGGTGATGGCTGCACAATGTCATACGTATAATTAATGCCACTAAATTCTACACTTTATAATGGTTACAAGGGCAAATTTCACACTATATATCTGCAATGGGAGTGCTGATGGCATAGTGCCTAAGGCATTTGACTGCTAACCAGAAGGCTTGTGGTTCAAACCCACCAGCCACTCCTCGGAAGGAAGGTTGGGCGATCTACTTCTGTAGTGATACCGCCTCAGAAACCCAAGGAGGGGTCGCTATGAGTCGGATCTGACTCTACGGCAGTGTGTTTGGTTTGGTTTGGTTTTGATACACTGCAGTAAAGCAGAGGTCAGTGAAAAAGGAAGCAGAGGCCCTCAGTGAGATGGAGTGATACATTGGCTACAACGACGGGCTCCAGCATGACAAGAATTGTGAGGATGGCGCAGGACCAGGCAGTGTTTTGTTCTGCTGTAGAGAGGGTGGCTACGAGTCAGAACTGCCTGGACGGCACCTAACAATGACCACCACCCCAATAAGAAAAATCTATAAAATCTGAAAAATAAAGAAGGCGGCACTAAGGCCAGACACATCTCCAGGCCTTATGCTTTCCAGAGGCCTTAGCTTCCCCCACCTCGCCCAGTGTTGCGATTGTGACTGATTAGGAGATACAATCTCAATTTAGACAACTAAAAGCCCTTTTCATTAAAAAAAAGAAAAGTTTATTATGTGCCCTATGTGCTGAGTGTATTTCTAGACACAGTGGGGGTTACAGAGGAAGAGTGTGAACTGAGGCATGGGATGGGTCTTCCAGTTTGGGTCTAGTAACACGCTAGAGCTGTAACAGCAATGTAGTATTGGTGATAACAGAGTTTTCAAACCAGTGCTCTGGGTTACATCCTCTGCTAATTATATGTATCTCACCTCTGTAGCCTCATCTCATTTAAGTCAACGACCACCCTATGGACTAGGTCATGCTTTGGAACAGGGAAGGTCACACAGACTGAGCCCAGGATTGTCCCGAGCAGCCATGGCCCTGGGTTCATCCCGGGAGCCAACCCCCTCCTTCACGGATGCACAGGAACTTGAAAGCCCCACTCACATCCACTCAGCTCCACAGGCAGTCCCCGAAGGCCGGAGGATTTGGAGGGAAAAGGGCAAGAGCTGCCTGGATCCGCCTCACCCTTCCCCTCTCTTCCACAGACATCCACGGCTATGACCACGGCGGCGGTGGCCGCGGCGGCGGCGGCGGCGGCGGCGGCGGTGTTGTTGTAGGCCCCTGGGGGGCAGCGCCAGCCTGGTGTCCCTGCGGCTCCTGCTGCAGCTGGTGGAAGTGGCTGCTGGGCCTGCTGCTCACCTGGCTGCTTCTCCTGGGGCTGCTCTTCGGCCTCATCGCTCTGGGTAGGTGGCCAGGGTGTCCGGGCAGACCGTGCGGCGGCAGGAGGCCAGGGAGGCTGGAAGCCGGGAGTAGCCCAAGTGTCACCAGGCCTGGAGATCCTCAGAGCAAAGTCCTGTGAGAAAACCCAGGCTCTGGGGGGCACCTGACTGAGGACAATCAGCCCTTGTGCCGCAAATGGACCTTGGGATGCCCAGCCCTGTGTCCTCTCCTCTGTAGCCACCTGCTCTAAGCGTTGGTTAATTTGGCCATAACTTCTCACAGCCTTTTCTTTCTAACTTTCAAAGCACCCCCTTCTGTCTCCCTGTTGGCTCTCACTCCACCTCTCAGGGAGCTGTTACCCACCTCAGAAAAGAACACTGACTCGCAAGCTAGGCCCAAGGCTCTGTTACTCTGTGAGGATTCTGAGTCATGAATCCCACTGGCAGCTACAACAAACTGTCTCCGCACCAAAATTGCAGCCAAGTGTGTCCCAGCAGCATGAGAAGCCACCACAAATCTGGGTGCTGCCCCAGCAGGTCTCCATGAGGAGTAGTGTTTCACAAGGCACTGGGTTCAGCTGCCTGTCCTCTGTTTCAGCGGAGGAGGTGAGGAAGCTGAAGGCGCGAGTGGATGACCTGGAGAGAGTCAGGTCCAGTGTGATAGAACTCAATATGGAGAGGAGCAACAAGGAACGTCTCAAGGGTGTTGCACCCGGAGTGGGAACAGGCCTGGGGACAGGTGGGCTGGACAGCCACAGTCAGGAGACACTCTGGATATTCATGAGGAACAAGCTACTGACAGAACAGAAAAATGGTGAGTGCATTGAAGAGGTAAGGGCCAGCACACTCCGAACTGGCGGCCCTTTGCATCTGTGTGGGGCACTATACCTTCAGGGCACCCACACCTCCCTCCTTTAATCCTCTCAATAGCTTTGTGAGGTAAGTAGGACTGGTATTGTGATTCCATTTTACTGTTGGGAGAACTGAGACCTGGAGAAGTAAGTTACTCAAAATCTCACAACTGGAACAGTTCAGAATCTGAGTCCTACACCTAGTCTGTTGTTCCCCCACTCGACCACGCTGGGGCCCCCCCTTGTGTGCATGTGAGGGACAAAGAAGAAGTAAAACTAACCTAGGATCCATTTTGTCTTGTAGGAAACCTCCTAGGAAGCCCTGGTCCAAAAGGTATTGTGGTGGATGGGCCCTTCCTGCTTTCATTTCTATAACTGGAGTTTTTTGTTTTTGTTTTTTGTCTGGGTAGATCAGAAAGCTTTTTTTTTCCCCCCTTTTTTTCCAAATTGAAGTATGAGAAACTGAATAATCTCACTGTATCCATTGGGAGGGCTGGGAATTGGCTTTGCAGTCAGAAGCTTTTACAACAGGAGGTACCTGAGGGATCACCTGAGAAGTGCAGGGAGGTGCCTGTGTGACACGCAGGGGCCTGAGGGAACTATGCCACATATTTCCTCACTCTGCAATCGTGTTTTATATCTTGTTAAACGGTTTGAAGATATGAGGGAGGGAATGGTCCTTGAAGGTCTTACCTCATCTCATAGTTTTCATCTCTTTCTGATTTTAGGTGACATGGGAAGTCAAGGCCCTAAAGGTAAATATAACATGGAATTTTTTTACCTCAAACATGAGTGAGAGTTGATGGTTTAAAGCGATTAGTCACTTCATGCTCTTCCTGGACATTGCCTCTCTGTGGTGGGACCTGGGAAGAGCAGGGCACCCCAGATCCTTCTTCTTTTTTTTTTTTTTTCCTTTTGGAGGGGTGGAGTGGATGGGGGGCTTCATGACAGATCAGGGCTTTGTACCTCTGGGGAAGCCCTGGCCCTGGCTCCTTCTCAGGGCTTTAGGGACTCTCAGAATCAATGGCTCTGAGGTGGGCTCCCATCAAGGGTCTTATTTCCCTCAGGCTCCAAAGGTCTGAGGACCTGCTACATCACAAGCACCTGAGGAGATTTCTAAAAGTGCAGGTTCCCTGGCCCTGTCCCAGACCTCCTGAATCAGGCTCTCTGGGGTTGGACTTCCCAGGTTAATTGTGATGAGCCAGGCCAGGCATCACCTGTCCTGTCCTCAGAGGTATTAGATGTGGGAGGCTGGGAGGTCACCCAGCAATCAGAAACAGTCCCCATGTGGGAAATCCAGCATGAGCAATGTAACCTGCCCTTCTGGGACTTGCAGTCAGAGGAGGCAAGACATAATCATAGGAAAAGTATCCCACCGTGTAAGTCAGGGGACAGTCACTTGCTGAATTGTGTGGCACACACTTATGTGCAGTTGTTGTTGTTGTTATGTGCCTTCGAGTTGGACCTGACTCATAGGGACCCCTCCTTGGGTTTCCAAGGCAGTATCACTACAGAAGTAGATTGCCCCATCTTCTTTCCGAGGAGTGGCCGGTGGATTTGAACCACCAGCCTTCTGGTTTGCAGTCAAGTGCCTTAGGCACTATGCTACCAGTTGTTGTTGTTGTTGTTGTTTGCTGTTGAGTCGGCCCTGACTCATAGCTACCCCTCCTTGGGTTTCCGAGGCAGTATCACTACGGAAGTAGGATTGCCCAACCTTCCTTCCGAGGAGTGGCTGGTGGGTTTGAACCGCCAGCCTTCTGGTTAGCAGTCAAGTGCCTTAGGCACTATGCTACCAGAGCTCCATGCTACCAGTAGGAGACCTATATTTTTCCTCAGAAAAGTGAATGGACAATCGATGGGACAGGCTCGCGGGGAGGGAGGGGGACCTTTCCAGTCCCAATGACCCTCAGCTAGCTGCAGAGTAACTAGCTCTCTTTGATCTAGCTGACTGAGGTTCCCAGACTTCAGTGTGTATAGGAGTCACCAGGAGATTCTGGCCCCCTCTGGGAGCCTCCGATTCAGCAGGTGTGGGTGGGGCCAGAGTCTGCATTCTAATCACTCAGCTGCATAGTCCATACTGAGAATCACGGCCCTGGTGAGGAAGTCGCTCCTCTTTCTCCCCAGCTCTACTCTCCTTGCCAACAGTCCCAATGCAGAAACGGGAGTCCTAGAGTAGCCCTTCATTCTGCTTTATTCTCTTCATAGTTTCCCAGCCACTCCCCTCTGCCCCATGCACACACCCTGAGCCACTGTCCTACCTAGCACCCCTTCCTTAAGGCACCAGCTTGGAGGCCATTCCTCTCCTGGGGAGGGGGACTGATGGTCCAGATGTTTCCAGAGCTCCTGCATCTAGAGTTGCTGGATAAAATACAGGACACCCAATTAAATTTGAATTGGAGATAAACAACAAATAATTGTTTAGTATAAACCTGTGCCATGCAATCTTTTCTAGTATAAATATGCTATGCAATAGTTGGGGCATACTTAGACTAAAAATGTATTTATTCATTGTTAATCCACAATGCAAATTTAACTAGGCATCTTATAGATTTTATTTGCTAAGTTTGGCAGCCCCACCTGAATTCCACCCACCTTCATCCTCTGGCTGACTTCTCCCTTTTACCTCTGCCCCTGTAGGTGATCGAGGACTCCCTGGGACTCCAGGTGTGTAGCCGCTCATGACTGCCCTGACTCATTTTAAGAAATGGTGCTGCTGGTTTTGCAGGCCGCTCAGGCCTGGCTGCAGCTGCAGGGAGGAACCCGGGGGCTGAGGTATTTTTGTGCATCCACAGGTGTCCCTGGGCTCTTGGGCCACCCAGGTCCAGAAGGACCAAAGGGACAAAAAGGCAGCGTAGGTAAGAACCATTTTTTCTAGTCCTTTCTTTTATAAATGTTCATTAAGTGGTTGCAATATATGAGGCCCTGTTTCAGGAGCTGAGGAGACATCAGTGAATAAAACAGATGAATCCCTGTTTCATGAAACTTACCTTTGGGCGGGGGGCGGGGGCGGTAAAGAAAGGCAATAAACAGAATAAATAAGTGATGTACATAGTTCATGAAGAGATGATACCTGAAATGGGCGGGGCTGAGCCTGGTAGTGACATTGGGCATGCTGAGGGGGTATTCACTGAGAGTAGAGAGGCCTGGGAAGGCCTCACCAAGAAGGTGCCATTTGTGCAAAGACTTGAATGGAGCATGGGAGCCAGGCCCACAGAGATCTGCCGAAACATTCCAGGCGGAGGGAGCAGCCTAGGCTAGAGTGTACCTGGCAGGCTCAAGCAGCGAGGAGGTGTCCCTGGCTAAAGGGCAGGTGGGAGGCAAGTCACATGGGGCCTCAGGGGTCATCCTAAGGACTTGGCTTTTCCTAGGATGAGTGGAGAAGCCATTTGCAGGGTTGGGCAGAACTAGGGCATGATCTGCTCACATTGTAAAGGATCACTCTAGCTTCTAGGTTATGCACAGGCTACAGGGGGCAGGAGTAGATGCAGGGAGATCAGTGTTCTGCCTGAGAGATGCTGCTGGTGGAGCCCTTAGCTGGGCCTGGGATCAGGATCACAATGCTGAGGTTGCCTGTTCTGTCCTTAGGAGAGCCTGGCATGGAGGGCCCCATGGGCCAGAGAGGGCGAGAAGGCCCCCCAGGGCTCCGCGGTGATCCAGGACCACCTGGGCTTGGTGAGAAAGGGGACAGAGGTAAGAGGAAATTCCTGCACCATGAGGATTAGCTATATCTTTCCTTCTTTTCATCTTTCTCTCTCCCTTCTTCCTTTGGTAACCTTTATTGAGCACCTTGAGCCAGTTCTATGCCAAGCCCTGTGGAAACAGTGGGCTACTGATGGGGCTCAAGCCTGGCTGTGAGTCCAGCCTGGGGCTGGGAGCCAGTCTTCCTTGCTCAGAATCCATGAAGAAAGTGGTCATGGAGAAAAAGTTCTGCCCAGAGAGGGGTGGTGGAGAGAGTAAGAAGTCAGGGAGGGTTAAGATGGACAGTAGAAGGTAAACAGGCCAGATGGGAGAGCCAAGTGGGGTGGGCCTTAGAGCCTCTGCTGGCTGGAACCTGGTGGGGAAGAAGGGAAGCCCCAGAGATGCAGACCCAGCACTGGAAGGGGGCTGAGACCTTTAGAAACTAGATTTTTCCTCATGCCTCTACCAGGGGAAACCAAGCACAGACACCAGGAGGTCTCTCATTGCCAAAAGATTGTCAGCAGAAAACCTGCTCAACCAGGCAACAGGTTATTTATTGAGTGCCTGCTAGGTGCCAGACTCCACGTTGTTGTTGATGTTAGATGCTGTTGAGTCAGCTCCGACTCATAGTGACCCATGTACAACAGAATGAAGCACTGCCCGGTCCTGGGCCAGCCTCACAATCCTTGCTATACCTGAGCCCATCGTTGCAGCCACTGTGTCAATCCAGCTCATTGAGGGCCTTCCCCTTTTTCATTGACCCTCCACTTTACCAAGCCTCTTTGAAGACTACTCCCGGGAATGGTCCCTTCTGGTAATATGACCAAAGCAGTCTGGCCATTCTCACATTTCCGGCTGCGCTTCTTCCAGGACAGATTTGTTTGTTCTTCTGGCAGTCCATGGCACTTTCAGTATTCTTCACCAACACCACAACTCAAAAGCATCAACTCTTCTTTGGTATTCCTAATTCATTGTCCAGCTTTCACATGCATATGAGGTGATTGAAAATACCATGCCTTGGGTTAAGCGCACCTTAGTCTTCAAAGAGACATCTTTGCTCTTCAGCACTTTAAAGAGGTCTTTGGCAGCAAATTTGCCCAGTCCAATACATCATCTGATTTCTTGACTGCTGCTTCCATTGGTGTTGCATTCCAGACTGTGTGGAATATACAATCTCTGGGGTAGAAACAAACAGAAAATGTTTTGCTGATCAGTGACCTGATAGAGACACCAAATTAATCAGATACCACTAGTAGAGCAGAAAATATCACTTCCAAACAACACAGCCAAGCTGAGAGGGTAACCAAACTGTGGACTCTCCCAAATGGCTCACATCACCATTTCTCCCCAGGGGCTGCTGGGGAGCCAGGACTACAAGGCCCACCTGGTGTCCCGGGTTCTGTGGGTCCCAAAGGTAAGTCAAGTGCCCAGAACAGGTATTCAAGTTTCCCAGTGAGGAGGCCACATCTGGGATGGGGGGCCCAGAGGTCTAGGCACTGAGATCCCAGCCAGCCCTGACCCAGTGATCCCTAAGTGTGTGGATGGGTCATTCAGGAAATCAGAAGTCAGTCAGTTTCCTCAACTGACTGGGGCCCAGATGAACATATTTGAAAGCAACATGCCTGGACAGCTCAGGGGAGAATGGGCTCCTCTCACAGCTTGATGGCCATCGGGTCACCTCTCCTCCCTATCCCCTGGCCCAGCCCATATGTCTTGCTCTGATGAGGAAGGGACAAGGAGCCTCTTGATCCAACCCAGCTTCCTCCCAAAGGGGAACTTTGCAGTGGGGTCACTACTGGACCTGCTGACTTCTGGGGTTCTGGCAAGAACCCGCAGCATGTGGGCAACACACACACAGTTCTCACCTGGAAGTGAGCTTCCAATTCCCCGTCCCACCTGCCCTTTGGAGCCCACCTTGGATCAGATGTCCTTGGCCTGTGTTTGACCCCTTGGCTAATCATTGTCTCATCCTCCCTGTCAGGCTCCAGTGGTTCTCCTGGCCCTCATGGTCCCCCAGGTGAGTGTGTTTCTGCTTGTAAACACAGGCTATTTTATGGGGCAAAGAAAGGGAACTTAAAGGAAACTCAGACATTTTAAAAGCGAAAAAGAAATTGTAAAGAGCTTCCTGTTGTTTTTATGTGCCGTCGAGTCGGACTGACTCATAGTCGACCCCACCTTAGGTTTCTGAGGCAGTATCACTATGGAAGTAGGTTGCCCCATCTTCCTTCCGAGGAGTGGCTGGTGGGTTTGAACTGCCAGCCCTCTGGTTAGCAGTCAAGTGCCTTAGGCACTACTCTACCAGAGCTCAAAGAGCTTCCTAGAGACATAAAACTCAAGTCCACAGAGCAATGTGGAACAAAACTCAAAATCTTAAAAAAAAAGGGGGTGGGGGCCAGGTTTGCTGGTCTGATAGAGCCTGGTGGAACCACTGAGACTATAGTCCCTACCTGCCCTTCAGGTCTGGAATTGAACCCACTCCTGTGGCTTCCAGCCAAACAAAAGACAGGCATATGAGCTGAACATTTACATTAGGTAGATATACTCCTTAGAGAAGCCAATCATGGGAAAATAGAAGGGATGTGTTTGCATAGGGAGACAGCTCAGGGGGCAGGAGTGCATGGGAGGGAAGGACACAGGGAAGAGGTGGCTATGGAAGAAGTGGGAAGAGAGCTGTTGCATTGTGGGAGATTGCAGTCAATGTTCTGAGACCAAGTGTATGTGAACTACTGGATGGAAGATGAATTTGCTCTGTAAACTTTTGCCCAAATCACAATAAAATTAAAAAAAAAAAAAACCTCAAGTCCACACCTGTGAGTTTGGGTAGTGTGATGGATCACGTCCAGACTCATTCTGATCCTGCATGTTCAGCCACAGGAAGCTCTCATCCTACCTTACTCTGAGCAAAGTGTTTGCCTCTGCCTCATTCCCTATGGCCTAAGAGCTCATCCTGCTGTCTTGAGAATTTCAGCCATAGCCCACACTGTGATGCAGGCAAACATCTTTGCCAAGGTGTTCTCATGCCCAAGTCCTGGTCATGGGCAGGGGCAAGGAACCTGAACCAAGATGGTTTAGCAGGGATGTGGGAAGAGGGAAAGCAGCCCTTTGTTTTCTCACTCCAGGGTGTATATGTGTCCCTTCCTTCCAAAACTATGACACTCATCCCCTGCATGGTTTCCTCTGTTTGGCAGGTCCCATGGGTGTCCAAGGACTCCGTGGTGAAGTGGGACTCCCTGGTGTCAAAGGTAAGCAGACAGGGAGGGCTGGTGGGGAAGGGAATGTCACCTTGTACATGCCTCTTACTCAAGAAAGGGGCCTGGGGGACAGGGAGAGTCTGGTGAACCTGACCAGCAGCCCTTGCAGATCAACAGGTAAGTGAGAAGCTGAGACTAAGAGGGAGTGGAACCCTGTCTTCAGAACATATACTGCCCCTCCTTGGTCATCCCCTCCAAGGCTCTTTACACTAAGAAGGTGTCCGTTTCCTTTTCAGGTGACAAAGGACCTATGGGACCACCAGGACCCAAAGGTATCCTGCTCCCTGCTGCTGCTCAGTCATCATTAGGATGTTGAGTCTGCTCAGCTCCTAGGAAGCCCAATGTGAGCCTGCCCCAGCATCAGAGAACAGAGACGACTCTGGCTCCAGGACCCTGGAGCTGGAGGAATCTGACAGCTCATTCTAGCCCAATCTTGCCAACAAGGAATGTCATGGTTAAGAGCTCCTCAGGGTGCTGAGGAGGCAGCAGGTTTAGGCATATGACCTCTACTCTAGCCCTCCTCCTTGTGCCCACAGCGCCATTTGTGCAACAGCAGGGCATGGTGTTCATTTTGTGGCCGCACTTGGCCCTGGCAGAGATCCAACATGCTCCTTTGGCTTCATTAGTGCTACACTTTTGCCAACATTCTGTTATTCCTACTGACAGTAGTTTTCAAATTCAATGAGATCTATTTCCCACCCAGGGGTCCCTATTGCTGGGTGAGATTGTGTTCCTTGCTCCCAACTTATGTTTCCCCGCTTCTTCTCCCCACCATGTTTGTTTTAGGTGACCAGGGTGAGAAAGGACCCCGAGGTCTCACAGGTCAGTCTTACATAGGAATCTACTGAATTCATGAACAACTTTTTGTAAATCCATTGGGCACAGGAGGTAGGGGGAAAACACAGAAATCTGAGTCAGAGCCTCTGTCAAAAAACCTCAAGGGACTTGTAATCTAGAAAAAACACGAAACAAGATAAAATAAAGCACTGAATGAGAAAAAGCAAGCATCAAAACATATAGTACATCTTTGGGGCAGAAAAGGAAGTTTGTGATTGGCCCTGATTCTTATGGAAAGTTCACTTGGGGAAAATTAAACTCTTCCCAAGTAGCAGGCAGTTTGCATTAGTGGTACCCTCTCAGCCACTTACCTCCTACCAACTTGTTTGATTGAAAGGAAAATTAATGGTGCCATCTGGTGGCGTAGTGCCTAAGGCATTTGACTGCTAACCAGAAGGCTGACGGTTCAAATCCAACAGCCACTCCTCAGAAGAAAGATTGGGCAATTTACTTCCATAGTGATACTGCCTCTGAAACCCAAGGAGGGGTCGCTATGAGTTGGATCCGACTCGACGGCTTTGAGTGAGAATACTTTGGCTGCAAGGGACATCATTCTGCTTCTAAGGAAATAAGACTCATACATGTGCCCTTTCAGACCAGGCATGACTTCTGGATAGCCCATGCCCACTGTCAGGGGACTCAGGTGGCTCTGAGTATGAAATAAAAGCACAGACTGCTTCCCCAGCCTCTGGTACCCAGTCTTCCCTGGTTGGGGAGGTGGCAGGCTCTGGGGCAATGGGCATGGATGGGAACTTTCTACCACTGTTGAAGTACTCAGAGCTTAAAAGCCTGTGCCCACTTAGTCCCTTTGCCATTGCAGGTGAACCTGGCATAAGAGGTTTGCCTGGTGCTGTGGGCGAGCCTGGAGCTAAAGGAGCAATGGGTGAGTGTTCCAAAGCAGTGCATTGAGTCACCCCCATTTGAGTGCTCACTGTGGCTTCAGAGACTTCAAATCCTTCTTCTCTGAACTACCCCTTTTTCCTATTCTCTAGCCTGCATGCCTCCTTGGAGAGTTTCAGTTTACACGTCTGTTCTGGGTCTGGGCATCGTTCTTGGGGCTCAGAGAGAGTAGCAGATGTCTCTGTCAGTTTCTCACTATTACAGAGAGGGCTTGGCATGGCACTGGTCCATCCACCCTGGTTCCTGCCAATAAGCTCCCTGCTGGATTGGGGAGGACAGAGACGTGTTGAGATCCTTTGGAGTCCCCAGGATCCTAGGCACAACCCTGGTACCCCAGAGCTGGTCTCCCAGCCAGATCCAGGTTATAACCCTTTTGTTGACATTTACTGAGGTACTTGTCTGCCAGAACATGGAAGGCTGGCCAAGAACCCTCAGAGGGCCAGGTGTTTAGCATCATGTCCCAATTGGGCGTTGGGCAAGTATTCATTCTCTCATTCATTTAACAGAGTGAGTGGAATGGAGTGGTGGTTAGTAAGCACTAACTGTATCCAGGCATTGTACCAGTAAGATACTTTACCACCCTCTAGGGGAGCTCTGGTGGCCTAAGACGTTTGACTGCTAACCAGAAGGCTGGTGGTTCAAACCCACCAGCCACTCCTCAGAAGGAAGACTGGGCAATCTACTTCTGTAGAGATACCACCTTGGAAACACAAGGAAGGGTTGCTATGAGTCAGAATAGACTCAACAGCAGTGAGTTTGGTTGGTTTGGTTTAGGTGACATAAAAGGAGCTCTGGTGGCACTGTGCCTAAGGCATTTGACTTTTAACCAGAAGGTTGGTGGTTCAAACCTACCAGCCACTCCGTGGAAGGAAGATGGGTGATCTACTACCATAAAGATTTACTACCTTGGAAACCCAATGGAGGTTGCTGTGAGTCAGAATCGATTCAATGTCAGTGAATTAGGGGAGAGAAGACTTATATGAAGCTAAAGGTGACAAGTACTATGAAAGGTACAGAGTGTCTGAGAATACAGTGGAAGATTTCTTCCAACTAGCAAGACAGGCAGCGTCATGGAGGAGACAGAGGTTCAGATGATCCTAAAAAGTTAGGAAGAGTTTGATGATGGCCAGTGTAAGGAGCAGCCTTGAGGAAAGAAAAAAAAAAAAAAAATCCAAACCCACTGCTATTGGGTCAATCCCAACTCATAGCAACCCTATAGAACAGAGTAGAACTTCCCCATAGGGTTTCCAAGATTGTAAATCTTTACAGAAGCAGACTGGATGTCTTTCTCCTGCAGAGCTGGTGGGTTTGTTAGCAGCTTGCAGTTGGTGGCTGAGCACTTAAGTGCTGTACTACCAGGGCTCCTAGAAAGACAAACGGGGTAAATGGTCACAGGACAGAGCATCTGTGGCATCTCTTCTAAGCAAGCATCAAAGTATACAGCGCCAAGAGTAACTCTTTTGGCTAGAGCATAGGACAATGCCTGAGGAGTGGAGACAAGAACGTGGAGACCTTGAATACTGGACAGAGGACTGTGGCATTCTTGGCATTCAGTCATAATCCACAGACATTTATGCAGCATCTAGTGTGTGCTGAGTCCATCAGAGGCACTGGAGACGTGATGGAGGGTCACTGAACAATTTTCAGAGGAAAAATAGACAACTCCTGCTGTGGGAGGAGGGGGCAGGGAGAAAGCTACATCCTAAGAGTATAATAAAGACAGGGTTTCTTCCATGGTTGACGGCATCAGGAAGGGCTGCCATGGGCTTCCCACCTGGGAAACAACCCGCTTCAAAACTACTGGGGCAGCAGGGAGAGGGAGGTGCAGGAATAATTCCAAAAGTGACTGATGGGCTTTGGTTCTGCTTTCCCAGGTCCCACTGGCCCTGACGGACAACAAGGCCCAAGAGGTTGGTCACTGATCTGTTCACTTCACTCTCACTACCTCCTCCTGCCTACCACTCCTTGCCCTACCGATGTTCCAGGGTGCAGGCCCTATTCCCTTAACTATAATGCAGAGAGCCATATATCATGTGGAAACACACAGTGCCCAATTACTATTCCCACTTCTCTTTTCCACCTGCCAGCAAGTCAGTCAGTGAAACTCCAGGAAACCATCAGTTCAGATTTGTTGGCCATTCAACTTCCCTAAATGGGTAGCATTTCCATGTTGGTCATGGTCTCTCTAGGTGAACAAGGGCTTACAGGGATGCCTGGAATACGTGGCTCACCAGGACCTTCTGGAGACCCAGGAAAGCCAGGTAATGGGGCAGGGAGTCACAGCTGGGCTGTGGTGTGTTTGTGTGTGTGCACCGGTGCATGCCTTGTCCCATTCCCTTCCAGCAGCTCAGCAGGGAACTGCCACAACCAGGGGACTGGGTGTTAGGTCTCATGCTATGTGCAGTGACTGTAAGGCCTTGCAGTCATCAAGTCTGGGGATTTGGAGGAAAGAGATTAACTGAAAACAAGGAGTTCTAGAAAGGGGCAAGGGCTCTTTTGAAAATTAGAATTGAAAATCACCTCAGTATCTTCTCCTCTGAACCCATCTCCTCCAGCCCACCTCCCCTTGGCCCATACCTGGACCCTCACTGATACCCACTAGGCTTTAGACCCTTTATCAAAGGTAAAGCAAGAGCAAGCTTCTCAGGGCTATGAGAATAACAAGTCAAAACAAGTCCAGAAAGGGCAACTCTGAGGAGCGGGGAGAGCTGCTGGCCCTTTGACTGGTGCACAGATGGCAAGCATGGAGGCAGGGGCTCTTCCCCTGCGGAGCCTGAGTGAGCACTGGGGGTCTCTGAGTGTGTGTTTTCTGGGTCCATGGCTCTTCACAGATGCCACAAGGCTCTGTGGCCACCATTGGTAAGAACCGTCATCCACTGGAGCAGTAGCTCACTTCACTGCAAAGCTCAAGGAATGGCTCCTTGTCCAGTGCTGGGAGAACACTGAGGTCTGGCTGCCCCAGACCCAGGGAGAGGGGTCCTCCTGCACCCTCAGTCCCTTTCTCTGCTGTGTGTCCACCTGCCCTTGCCGCTGAGAGTGTGGCTCGTTAAGTACATCTCCAATATGTCACCTTTTCCTCATGTTTTTATTTTCTGTAGGTCTCACTGGACCCCAAGGACCTCAGGGTGAGTTGTCAGTCACTCCTACCTCCAAATGCCACCTGCCAAGCCTCCCATTTCCTCCTGGGACAGTCACTGAAGCAAATACTTGGCCTCCAGTCATCTTAGAGTGTCCTCTCCCTTCCCACCCTTCAGGTCCTTTTACTGTGAGTCTTGAGAAGCACCTTAGGGAGAAAACCTATGCATGCACAGGACAATCTTGAAAGCTATTCTAATAGAAATGAATTTAGATTATCTACTGAATCTCTCTGTCTGTGCCCTGTTCTCACTGGGTGTTGGAATCCCCAAAAGGAGGTCTCAGGCCTGTGAAGATAAGCAGTCCACTTCAACCCCACAGGGCCCAACATGCCCACTGGCATGGCAAGGAGTGGACACTCCCCTCATTCAGAAGGGACCAGCTTCTCTAGAATAGCTTATATGTTAAAGTCTGTCCTACAGTTGGACCAGTGTGCATCCATTGGGATTTGGGTAATGGTCACTACACCAGCCCCAACTCCTGAAGGAAACTGAAATCAAGCAACGAGCCCCTTAAAATTGTGCCCCTTCAAATGTTCTCTGGTGAAGAGTCCAGAAAATTCTGGACCCAGCCTGGCTCCAGTATGTGTACTGAACCCCAAACCAGTTGCCATCAGATGCTCCTAGGGATAGGAGCTCTGGTAGCATAGTGCCTAAGGCACTTGACTGCTAACCAGAAGGCTGATGGTTCAAGCCCACCAGCCACTCCTTGGAAGGAAAGTTGGACAATCTACTTCCGTAGTGATACCACCTTGGAAACCCAAGGAGGGGTTGCTATGAATCAGGTCCAACTCCACAGCTCCTCCACATGTAATAACAACAACAACAAAGGGGTAGATAAGGCAAGGGGAGGGGTGCTGGATTAGATAAAGGATGCCCAGCCACTACTCTGTGGGGGAACTTGGCTTCTATGGGGTGGCTCATAGAACAGGACTAGAATCCCCAGAGCTGAGCTCACGAGCCTCTGCGTTCCTCAAGCCTACTTTGTGCCCCTTTTCCTGGAGAAGGAGAAGGAATCAGAGCAAGAGGCTCTCAGAGGGGCCACCTGGACTGAAGCAGAGGGCAAAGCCCAGACCAAGCTCAGAGTTTCAACGGGTGACTGACTGTGTTGAGCAACCAGAGCTCTTGTTGATACCAGAGAGTGTTTAGACCTGGTGACCACTCATCATTCTGACTAACTTATTTTTAATCACATTAGGACTTCCTGGTGCCCCCGGCCAACCAGGGTCTAAAGGTAAGTGATTTTCCAAATTCAATAGTCTTTCTTTTCACTAATCATTTTTGTGGCAGGGAAAGGGGTTGGCAAGAGGAAGGCATCTCTCTGGCCATGAGCGTTGATCAACAGTGGCATCTAGTGGCTCCAGCAGAAGGCTGGGAGGCTGGGAAGTCCAGGGATTGGTTCTGAGCAGCTAAGCTTTGAATTCTTGAGCCCCACCCACTGCACTCACCTACCCACCCCACAAACCAGAGCATCACTTCAGTAGGTAAATGTCTCTAAGCTGTTGTTACAGGAGTATCCAAGAGGGACCTTGCCTTCCTCAAAGCCTTTTCATCCCCTGGTTTGCCTCAAAATGTCTTCATTATTGCTTTATCCCCCTACCTTATGCTTAGTTCCCTATTAACATGATGGTTCCCCTGGGACTGGAAACACCTTGGGCTTTCTCAGTCACATGCAGCTCGATGTTGCTGTGTAAACGGACCCTTGCCGAGAGGCAACTTCAATAAGGCAGAGAGGAGTGCATAAGTACTGCTGAGAAGGCAAAGGAAGAGTAGCGAGAGGGGAGTTCATACTCCGTGGTTTGACTGGAGCCCATGTGGTGACACCTACATATGCAGGGACTCTCTTGTCCTATTCTGTCCACTGTTCAGTTTAGCACCGTCCAAACCCAACCCTGCACTTGTCCAGGAATAAACAGTGCTCAGGGATGGTCCTTCTCCTATTTCTGTGACACAGTGTTCCTGAACCCTGACATTCCGTGGAGCTGTGCTCTGTTGTGAACAGTCACTCTCACCTTTGGACTCTAGGAATAAAATAACTGCTTTCCAGAAATTACTTTGCCAGTGATAAGTTAGGCCAAGGAGAATTTCGGGGATAAATAAATGTAGTTTCAAGAGAATGACAGCTGAATTCATACATACCAGGCAGACAAATCTCTGGGTCCATAGACCTGTTCATGGATTGATGAAATTGATAGGAAGAGGCTCGTAGGGCTTGGGATTCCTGAGGATAGCAGGGCCTGTGTGTCATACCCTCCCTAGAGGAGGTACATAAGAGTGGAGACTTCACCTAATGCTAGGTTGTGATCCAACAAAACAAACTCAAGTGCTTTCTCCTCTCTTGGCCTTGCCTCCCAATTGCAAAACAGTGAGTAGAGACCATCCCTCTACTTCCCTTTAAAGGTAAATCAATACCATCCTTTCACTGTATGAATGATTTAATTGCTCATAGATCTTAGGGAACGGAAAACAAGGTCCCTACAGTGTCCCCAGTTGAAGGGCTTGGCCGTCCTCTAGTCCTCTTGGTTTCTCCAAGTGAGTCCATGGATCTCCAGCCCTGAGGGATGCTTTGCTGAAAAGGTAGCCAGTGGTCGGTCAGTGTGGGCAAGTGTGAATGGACAGTTCTCTTCTTGAAAATCCTCTACTCTCATTTCATTTTCAACAGCTAAGAACACGGGGCAGACAAGAGATCTGTCAACCTTTATCTTCCAAGCTTACCAGCCCCAGAACTCCTTTTTAATTCTGTCTCCACTGTTCTTCCAGGGAACTAGACTGCTGTGGAGCTTACTGGGGCCCGCTGTACCCAGGCTCCCTGCCTCTGTCCTTTGGCCATTCAGTAATATTCCCAGCAAGAGTCCTGTACGACTCACTGAGGGAGAAGACAGTTTGGAAGTTTGAATAGAACTCAGGCTGGCCCCCATCTGGCCTCACTGAGAGGCAAACTCACCACACTGTCAAATGAGTGAAGTCCCTTCCCTGAGTCCCAGCCTTGTCCAAAAGCTGATGTGGACAAGATGGATGCAACAGCCTTTAGGGTCTCCGGCTGAGAGATTGGCACTTAATGCATCCAGCATGCTCTCCTCCAATTCATTAAAATGCCTTTCGATGGACAGTGAAAGGCACAGAAGTGGGTCTCAAATGCAATCAGAAGTCTTGGGAATGATTTATTGAGTCACTAATTAGTCCTCAGAATAACAGGTCTCCATCCTTTCCTCCCCTGCCAGGTGAACCAGGAGCTCCAGGCAGGATCGTGACTGCAGGTAAGCAGCGAGGAGTGATCTCCGCCTGTCTTCATCTCTTGGGTTTGGGGTATCTGTCCTGCCTCTGCCTAACGCCCATCAAGAGGTGTCCCTCTGTGGGCATGGTGCTTTGGGTTTAATGGAGTGGTGAGTTCTTTGGGTCAACAGTGAGGGAGGTTTATCTTCCTCCACCAATGAGCTGTCTAGAGGAAGTACCACTGGGTATATGGCTACGCTTGGATCCCAGAGCCTTTGAAGAAGAAGAGGGTGGCCCAGTCTTCCATGTGCTTTCTGTTTTCAGAGGGGTCGTCGACTATCACTGTGCCAGGCCCCCCAGGACCTCCTGGAGCTATGGGACCTCCAGGACCTCCAGGATCCCCAGGTCAGTCAAGGTTTTCTTGATTTACCCCAAATCAGCAGCAGGTCTTGGTTGCATTTGACTATAGCAGTGTTTTCTCAAATCCTGAAACTCAAGGCAGGAACTCAGGGGAAAGTAAGGAGAGGCCGAGAAATCCAACCTCTCTTTTATTCTCGGACAATGAGGTAGGTCAGTTATCCTTCCTGGACGACTGGCCAAGCTTTATCCTGCAGAGAAAGTGCTCCAAGCACTGCGCAGGCACTGCTTCTTTAAGCCCTTCCAGCCCTTGGGAGGTCCATGCTGCCGTCTGCATTTACATGGGGGAAACTGAGACTCCAGCAGTAATTGATTTGCCTAAAGTCAAACAGCTAATATGAAGCAGAGCCAGGATTGACCCCGGTCAGTCTGCTGTGGCCAATCAGAACACTGGGCCCTTAGGCCTTTTGTTTACTTTTGGAAAACAACTTGATACTATGCATCAAGGATGACAAAATGCTAGCAATCCACTTGAAGAAAAATTCCAAAATTATCCAACAACGATGAAATGGCTGAGAAAATATGAAGAGTTTTGAAGAAAAGTTTCTAGAAGACAATAGTGTTACTTTAAAAAGCAGGATATATGATGATATATGCTCTGTGGTTCAAACCAAACTCACTGCCATTGAGTTGATTTCTGACTCAGTAATCCCCAGTAACTCTTTACGGAAGCAGATTGCCCCATCTTCCTTCCGAAGAGTGAACCGCCAACCTTCTGGTTAGCAGTCAAATGCCTTAGGCACTGCACCACCAGTTTGGCTCTGTGATTACAACTATATTTTTACAAGATGTGAAATAAGTACTGGAAGGAAACAACAAAAAAAGGGTAACAAGTTGAAGAATTACAGCTAATATTTTTCCAAAATGCCTTTTGTTTTGTTGTATATATTTTTTCATCATTTAAAAATGTGCATGTATAAATGAAGTACAAAACTTAGTAGGTGTGTACCAGCCCTCCCTCCTAGTAAGAGGAGAAGTGAAAGGGAAGGAACCTTCCCTCCTCCATTGAGAGGAAGAGACTGGGGATCCTTAGAAGAAGCCTCTGAACTTTGAAGGACAGTCTCAGTAAGAGCAATCCCACCTGCCCGGGGTCCCTGGTGCCTCACCAACATGGACCAAGGGCTGGTCCATGTATTGCTTATTGCTCTCAAACAAGCAAGTTGTCCTCCTTGGGCCACTGTTCCATGCCTCAGGGGGAAGCCATGTGTATACCCTGTACCTGCCCTTCCTTCAGTTCTTTCTAGAACTGTGACCCTAGTGGTATAATTTAGCTTTTTCTTCCCCAACCCCATTTTCAGGTCCTGCTGGCCCAGCTGGTCTCCCAGGACAGCAAGGTAGGTCACCCCCTGAAAGAATGCATGGCTGTGAGCTAGGTCAGGAGGACTTCCTGCTCAGGGCCAACTTGGTTGGGCCTTTGGTCTTTAAAGGAGGGAGAGATGTGTATTCAAGGAAGAGGGGCAACATGGCTCTTCACCAAAGGCCTCGCAAGGTCTCAGTTGCAGAGATGGGAAAAGACCTCGTCTCAGCCCCTTCCATGTTTCTGAGAAGACAGGGATTCTCTGGAAGAGATTCTGTTTAGCTAAACAGGGAGAGCGAGGACCCAGAACGCTGGTCAGGGTTGAGCTGGGCTATGTTCATAGGCCTTCAGCCTCTCGTGACCAGTCCCTGATCACTGTGCCACTGCCTAGTGATTTATCCAAACTCCAACAAATAGTCAAGCTCAGGAAAAGCTGGTCCGTTCCCTCCTGGGGTGTTTTGGCTACAGACAGAAATGTCCAAAGCCAACTCACTGGCCCTGCCCATCTTCAGCCCTGCCTCACCTTGCACCTGAGTAGCTGGACACCTGGGCCTACTCCAGACCCTCTTCAGAGGAAAAGCACAAAAGGACTATGGTGGGCAGTGCCCACTCCAACTCTGTGTCCTCCCCACAGGCCCACGAGGAGAGCGAGGGCTTGCTGGTGAATCATTTGTGAGTAGCAGCAGGTCCATTTCCGAGGTCCTCTCTGCACGTGAGTACCACCCTACTCTCCAGGGCAGATGGCGCTAGAGGCGGGAGTGGGAGAGGTGGTTCTCCCTATGGCAGCTGCACCAGTGAGTCATCCCAAAAGTTTCTATGTGAGGATGACCAGTGAAATCAGAGAAAGAACAGCAAGGGTTTTGTCTGATGTGGGAGAGTGAGTCACCGGGGATGGGGCAGCTGTCAGAGCAGTTCTCAGGAATCCAAGAGGATCAGAACCAGGCAAGGCCTCTGAAGTGAGCCGGGCATGTCGGTACTGCATCCCTCACTCAAATAAAGCACTGAGAAGGGTCCATGGGTCTCACCCACAGGCCTGGCTAAGGAAGGCTGACTCCTAGGTCTTCCTGTTTACAAAGTTTTTAATAAGCCCAGGAAGAGGTGTGCTGGTCCTCCCATCTGGACACCTGGACAGCTGAACAGCAATGACAATAGGCAACCCCAGTTGGCACTCACCAGTGCCAGACACTGCACTAAGGCCTCAGCATGCACCAGCAGCTCACTGAGTCCTCACAACACCCTTATGATATAGGTCTCATTGGTCTGGTTTTCAGAGGAGGCATCTGAAGCTGAAAGAGATTTAGAATTTACCCAAGTCACCATCTAGAAGAGGTGGAACAGGAATTTGAATGCAGGTTGTCTGACACTGGAGCCCAAGTTCTTACCCATCAGTACATACACCCACACCAGACATCAGAGAGTTTGACTGCAGTCCCACCCTGCCTCTGAATGAGGGGTACCCCTAACAGATGAGGAACTGAAAGGTCCTATGCCATGACTCAGGGACTGTGTCTAGGGTGCAGATGCCGCTGGGGTGCCTGACACTGGTGATCCTGGTGAAGGGTAAGGAACATGGCAGAGAACAGCTTCATATAATTTTTGCTTTCTTTTCCCTACAGAAGGTATTGATCTACAAGGTCCTCCAGGTCCACCTGGGCCACCTGGGCCACCAGGTGAGCATTTCTGAGTTCTTTTTGGAGGTGGGAAATTTGGGGGAGGCAGGGAACTCCAGGCACTTAGTAAGGAATCCAAGACCCTAACTTTTAAGGGCAGGATCAACTAGTTGAGTACAGCATTCCCCTTCTTCATTCTCTTCTGCAGGGCCTTCCATTCCAGGCCCCCCAGGACCCCGAGGCCCAGCAGGTGAGAGCTGAGCTCCCTGGTGGGGTGGGTGACCATGAGACCCAAAGCTCAGCCCTCTTCTGGGCCAGCTCTCGGGAAGCAGTTTCCCTGCCATGTCTCCTGGGCAGAGGGTTCCAGGCCCACCTTTTGGCCCTAATAAGTCATGGAGTTTCTTTTATCTAGGGGAAGGATTGCCAGGCCCACCAGGCCCACCAGGATCTTTCCTTACCAACTCAGGTAATGGTGGAAATTGAGTCACACCTGTTTTCTACTTCAGCCCCAGCCCTGGTAATTGCTGTGATCATAGGCTTGTGAGCTTTCTACCCAACTCACAAGGCTTCCTCCTTCTGACCTTCACACTAGGGGTGTGTTTATATAAACTCCCTACTATATGCAGCATGTAGGGAGAATGAAAGATGCCAGCCTAGCCACCCAATAACCTGGCCTGAGGGAGGGACTCAGTTCTGCCCTCAGGAAGCCTCTGGACTGATTAGGGAGACATGGTTCCTGTCCTTACAGAACCCAGGTCTGATAAAGTAGGCAGGACACATGCATACGAAATGAGATAAATGCTAACAGTAAAACATAGAAACATATGGAAACAACTTTAGAGCAAACAACATTAGCCCAGAACTTCCATCCATCCATTCATCCTTTAATTTTTCTATTCTACCATCCATCCATCCAATTATTCAATCATCTATCCATGAATCCTTCCACTTCTCCATTTGATTGTTTCATTCATTCATTCATTTGTCTGTCCAACCACCCAACCATTCAAATATCCATCCATCTATCCATGTAGCTGACAATTTATCCAACCATCTATCCATTCATCCATCCATCCATCTGGTAAATATTTATTGAGCATCTATATGCCAGACTGTGCTAGATACTGCTCCTTCACAAATGTTTCTTGGTTCTTAATCTATTTCTTTCCTCTACAGAAGGCTTATTCTCTGGGCCCCCAGGCCCACCTGGCCCCCCCGGTCCCAAGGGAGACCAAGGTGAGAACAGAGTTTCAAGGAACCCAGGAGTCTGTATGTGCCCCTGTGTTCCCAACTGTTGATTAGAAGAATTTGGATGAGGTTCAGTGAGCTGAGGTGTCTCTTCATCTCTCTCTCATATCCCATTAGGAGCTCAGCAGCTGGGAGCACAGGGGATTTGGGGGAGTAGGTTGAGTGGAGTAAGGAAGCAGGGTGGCATATGGTCAGAAGTGCTACAGAGAATTCCCACCCCTACTTTGGTGTGGCAGGAGAGACTAAAAGGACCCCAAGCTGTGTCTTCCCCACACTGGAGCTTCCATCCTCTCACACACGAGCCCCTTGAAGTCCCAACACCTGGTTGGTATGAGTTCACAGCTCTGCCTTCTTCCCACAGGGCCCCCAGGTCCCCGAGGACACCAAGGTACAGTAGAGCTGGCATCAAATAAAACTTGGGGTGAGGGTGGGGTGGTAAAAGTTGACCTTGCAAGAGAGCCTTGAGCTTCTTGAAAGTGAGTTTGGTCCAAAAGAGGCAGACTAGACAACAGAGTGTGTCTCTGTGGATGCTTGAGTATCTCTGTGTGTCTAGTGCTGGTGTGTGCATGTGCATTTCCGCACTGTGTGTAGAAACAATTGTCACATATGCGTGAGTGTGCATGTACACACGTTGGCACAGCAACAGCTCTAGGTACTGCCCAAAGGGTGACACAGCGCCAGCAATCTTGGGTCTTGGGGAGCCTCTGGAGAGGAAGTGGTGTACAGGACTGGGGCATGGGTGGAGGGAGAGAAGTGTGACTAACCGTTCCCACTCTCCTGTTGCTCCTCAGGCGAGCAAGGCCTCCCAGGGTTCTCAACCTCAGGTAAGTGCTGACTGCCCCACTCCTCGCCCCTCCCACTGCTCTAGCTGGAGCCTCTGCACCCTGGCTGACTACACCATCTTCTTGTTCCAGGTTCCAGTTCTCTCGGAATCAACCTGCAGGGACCCCCAGGCCCTCGGGGACCCAAGGGTGACAAAGGTCAGTGAGAGAAGAACCAAGAAGGTAGTGAACAGTGGGAGGTGAGGAGTGGGAGCAAGCTGGCTCCTAGAGCCCCAGAGTCTGAATAAAGGGCCTGCAAGCAGGCAGCAAGGGCTTACTGATGCTAAAGGTCTGGGATAAAGAGGAGGCTGAAGAGAGGAGAGGCTGGAAGGAGAAAGGTATGAGTAGATGAAGATATAGGTCTCTGCCCAAAGAGAGTGAGCTTGTGATGTCACTGGAGAGAGGAGACTAAGAGCCATGGGTGTGAGCACGAGCAAATAAGTGTGGTTGGGCTCAACCAGGGAAGACTTCCAGGAAGAGGTAATGCAAACAGGTCTTCTTGTTCTGGATTCCAGGTGATCCTGGTGTTCCAGGAGCTCCTGGCATTCCTGGTGCTTCCTCTCGAGGTAAGACCCTAAGGTGACCAAAGATCCTCTCCCCTTCTTTAAGCAAGGCTGGTCATTCCAATGAGGATATTCATTCATTCATTCATTCATTCATTCATTCCATGATTCAGTGTTGGTGGGGTACCTTCTCCATGTGCTAAGATTTATGAGCTGCCTTTAAGGAGGTTGGGGGGTGGGAGGGAAGGACCCATGTATATATAGAGATAGCGATACCAGGTAATGAATGGTGGAGAATAAACCAGACCCTGGGTTCTTTGGGTGTTCAAAGAAGAGGGAGGCTGTGTGAGGTGGTGAGCAAGTTGTTGAAGGATGGGGACAGGTGGGCCTAGGAGAGCTCTCCATCTCTGTGCCCTCTCAGACAGTGACTGCCACAGCCACTCCTTTCCTCTCTTCTTGGAGACCCTCTTTTTGCCCCTGTCCCATTTCCCCTATGGAGTGAGGACTAGACCTCCCCTCCTCAGCCAGAGGAAGCAATGCCTTGGCCTCTCTTGGTCTGATCCCTGGGCTTTTTTCTTCCCTGCAGGGGAATCAGCCAGCAGCACCATGTACATGCCCGGCCCGCCAGGCCCACCAGGGCCTCCTGGGCCTCCAGGCTCCATCAGCAGCTCCGGCCAGGAGATTCAGCAGTACATCTCTGAGTATATGCAGAGTGAGTGCCAGCACCCATGGTCCTGGGGTCAGAATAGGGCAGTGAGTGTGTGTTGGGGGGCTGGGGACAGTCTCTATGGCAAGGCCCCAGGTCCATGAGCTTCCACAGGTCAAGCTCACACACACAACCTGCCTTCTTACACCCGCCCACACACGTCCTCACTCTGGCCCCCAAAAGGCTCATATACTCACTACGCACATACTACACACACACATTTTACACCCGATGCACTCCCCTGACCTCAACCCTGTGTCCCCATGGGTTTGTGGGCCCTGAAGTTTTGCCCAGTGGGTGGAGTCTAACTGGAGTCTTGTTGGCCCACACCCCTCATGGACTGCCTGACCTAGCAGAGGTCTCTGCCTCAGGTTCTGTAACAAGGGGAGTCGAGGTGCACTGCTGGCCTTGTCTTGGGTCCATGTTGGGGTGGGGGCTCTTCATCACGTGTTTCAGGGCAACTCCATGGGAAGGGCATGGTGTCTTGAGGAGAGGCATGACTTTGCTTCTTTCTTTTGGTGGCAGGTGACAGTATTAGGTCTTATCTATCTGGAGTTCAGGGTCCCCCGGGCCCACCTGGTCCACCAGGCCCTGTCACCACCATCGCAGGCGAGACCTTTGACTACTCAGAGCTGGCAAGCCACGTCATAAGCTACTTACGGAGTAAGGCTCTCCCCACACCTGAATGTGAACACCTTTCTTCTAAGGTCCCACTGTTGTTCCCAGAGACTCAGCTCTTCCTTGCTGTTTGTTTAGCCCTTCTCCTGAACATGATTGTTGATTCCGAATGCTTTGCAGTCAGGGCCTTCATGAAAGGGTCTGTTCAGATTAAGAATCGAGGCCACACTGAGGCCCTGTCCAAGGAGCCTTCTTATATTTGATCAGTGTTCCTAATTATAGGCCCTTCTCTGTTCTTGATCCATCGGGTTGGCCATATCTGTGAGGAATTGGGCTAATATATTCTTAAAGACAAGCTGCATCTCCCAACAAAAAACAAAATAAACTTTTGACCATTTCATGCTTTCATAATAGTCACTCTCCCGACCCCCGCTCACTCAAGGAGCTCTGGTGGTGCAATGGTTAAAGCATTTAGCTGCTAACCAGAAGGTTGGCAGTTTGAAACCACCAGGTGCTCAGCAGGAGAAAGATGAGGCAATTTACTTCCATAAAGATTTACAGCCTTGGAAACACTATGGGGAAGTTCTACTCTGTTCTAAAGGGTCACTATGTGTTAGGATTGAGTCAGTGGCTTTAGGTTTGGTATACACCCACTCATTCATTCCCCTCAAGTGGAAACAACCACATGACCAGGCTTTTCTGACTCTGGGATACCAAGGGTGTTCCTACTGACCAGACAAGCAGGTCATTTGAGGTTTTCTTCCTGACAGCCTCAGGGTATAGCATCGGAACAGCCTCTGCTTCCATCTCCTCTGAAGATATCCTGGCTGCGCTACAACGTGAGTCATGGGGTGGGCTGGAGTGGGACCTCCTTGCCCTCTCCTGGCATCCTTTGTCCTGTCTGAGCCTTGTGAGGCCTCGGAGCCACCCCCCTGCTGCCAGGAGTCAGCAAATTGACTGGACGGGAGTGGCAGCTCCCTTAAGCCCTGCCAGTGCCAGGCAACAGCAGGTGCCCCTGCAGGTACCTGGAAGCCTGCTAGTTTCCCACTGACCAGATTTCAAGAACATCACTCCAGAGCCAGTGTGTGGGTCTATGCTAACGAGCTTCTCCTCTCCAGGGGCGGACGTGCGTCTGTACCTACAGCAGTACCTGATGGGCCTTCGGGGACCACTGGGGGCTGGAGACGGGACCCTCCAGTCTCTGGACTACGCAGAGCTGAGCAACCGAATCCTCAGCTACATGTCCAGTGAGTGTCGGCAGGCAGGGGTGTCCTGGGGTGCAGAACTGGGCACTGAACTCCCCTGAAACAGCCCCAGTGACCCCTTCTACCAAGCTGCACCATCCCTGCAGGAGTGGGTGGTGTTCAGAGCAATTCAAACTTGTGACCCCAGAGCAGGTCAAGGAACATGGAATTGGAAGCCAAAATGAGTGTCTTGAACACTGTCCTGTATATGGACACAACATACACACACACACTATACACACACAGTCTGTCACACAGAAGCAATGGGCAGTTTTCAACTGGTATTCCTCTTAGAACTGGAAAGCTCTCCTTTTGGTGTCATGACACAGAATTCTACCTGTCACTCTTTTCTGTCTTTTCCTGTCCTCCCCCTCTTTCCTCTCTCAGTCCCCACTTCTGTCCAAATCAGTGTCTGCCCTCCTCTCACAGTGTTTCCATCTGCCTTCCCATCCTGCCTGATCTGAATCCATCACAACCTGGGAATTTGTTCCCCAGGTTCTGGGATCAACATTGGGCTGCCTGGCCCACCAGGCCCTCCTGGCTTGCCAGGAACATCCTATGAGGAGCTACTCTCTTTGCTTCGAGGTAAGGCTGAACAGGGGACATCTGTCCACGTGGTTTGGGATGGTTGTGGAGCTCCAGGGCGTAGGCCATGATTTCTTGTTCTTCTTGGTGTCTCAAGAGTCTGATTTTGGAGGCATCGTGGGACCCCCAGGTCCCCCTGGGCCACCAGGGATCCCAGGCAATGCGTGGTCCAGCATCAGCATGGAGGACCTCTCCTCTTACTTGCACAGTAAGGCACGGGGATGCAAGGAGTAGGAGGGCAGAGGCCTGCAGGCCAGCCTCTGGGGCTCTCGTAGGCTTTTTTATCATAGGCTCATAGGGCAGCATGGGATGTTAAATCACCTCACCATCACCAAGACCTCCTGGGCACCTACAGATTGGGCACTGTGGGCCCTGGAGAGCCACCCACGGTTCTTGCTTTTGAGGTGCTTTCAGCCTAGGCAGGGGGAGGAGTGTAGAGAGAGCACTCCCAAGTGCAGCACAAAACTCATGAGCCAGCGTGTGATTAGGGGCCACACCTCTGGCTCCCAGTGACTAAAGGCCTTGGGAGGAATGGGTATGATTTGGATTGAATGAGGCTCAGAAATGGGAGTGGGATGGCCAGCCAAGAGAAGTCACTCCCCAGTGGTGCCAGGGACATGGGCTGGCTTAGTTGGGGCCTTGCAAGCTCTTTCCCTCACCGAGGAGGTCCAGCCTCCTCCCTTCTTTTTCAAGAGGGGCCTAAACTAGCCACTGAGCTTTCTCAGCAGAATGAGGCTTAATCTTTCTTTCTCTTCCTTCTCACTTAGCGGCAGGCTTGTCATCCATCCCAGGCCCTCCAGGCCCCCCTGGTCCACCAGGCCCTCGAGGACCCCCAGGTGTTTCAGGAGCTCTGGCGACCTACGCATCCGAGAACAGCGACAGCTTCCGGAGTGAACTGATTAGCTACCTCACAAGTAGGTGACCTTAGCATTAATGTCCCCACCATACTCCATCCCCAGACATTGCTTTTCCCTGTAAGGGGGCCAGCAAGGTGCTTGAAGGAACTTGGGAACCCGAAAACATGAGGGCCACTGGGAGGGCTCAGCCCTGTGTCTCCCCATGCCAACCTTCTTCTGCCAGGGTGGACAGACCTTGAAGATTCTGTCTTATTGCCAAGGGGCAATAAGAGAGACCCCATAAGACCCACTTCTTTCCACCAAGATCTGAGCTCCCAGTAATGCAGCTTCCTTTCTACCCTCAGGTCCTGACGTGCGCAGCTTCATTGTGGGCCCCCCGGGGCCCCAGGGGCCCCGGGGGCCCCAGGGGCCACCTGGAGACAGCGGCCTGTCATCAGAAGGCTCCTACAGTCGGAGTAGCAGCTCCTCCTACAGCTCGTCGGCGGGCATCGGAGGAGCCAATGGAGGCTCCCTGGGCGATGGGGGTCCCTATGGCACTGACATTGGCCTGGGCAGAGGCTATGGGGCAGCAGCAGAAGGTGGCATGTACGGTGGCAATGGTGGATCATTCGGGGCTGGCTTTGCCGGAGGTGTGGACGAGCTGGCTGTTCGGGTGTCAGAGAGCCTGCAGCGTAAGTAGGGGCACTTTGGTCTCAGAGCTGTTGGGTGAGCCCCTAAACAGCTCAGTTCCAGAAACTCATCTACTTGATTCTGAGCTCCCAGACTGTGAAGACAGCGAGGCTGGAACCAGACAGGCAGGGACTGAAGACAGAAACAGTGACTAAGCTGCAGGGAACAGAGCGAGTTAGATCTGTGCACTAAGTTCAAGGTCTCAGAAGAGTGATTATGACCATGATGGTTTTCTGGTGGGGCTGAGGGATAGATAACCCTACCAACTGCCATTGAGATGACCCCATAGGATAGGGTAGAACTGCCCCATATGGTTTCCAAGGCTGCAAATCTTTACAGAAGCAAACTGTCTCATCTTTCTCCTGTGGAGCAGTTGGTGGGTTCAAACCATTGACCTTTTGGTTAGCAGCCACATGTTTTGACCACTGTACCACCAGAGCTGAGGGAAGGTTGTTGATTGAGAAGTCCATTCTCCCTGTAGCTTATCAGCAGTTACATAGGCCTCAAGCTCTTGGCAATGCCCACTGCAGACAGAGACATGTGCAACACAGGGGAGCACAAAGGAAGCAGGCAGGGCTTTGCCCTTGAAAACCAAACCCACTGCTAACTCCATTCTGACTCACAGAAGAACTGCCCCATAGGGTTTCCAAGGCTGTATATCTTTACGGAAACAGACTACCTCATCTTTCTCCTGCAGAGCGACTGGTGGGTTCAAACTGCCAGCCTTCTGGTTAGCACCCAAAATCTTTAACTACTATGCCACCAGAACCCCTTGCTGTGGCTTAATCCAGTGTAAATGCATGGAAGTGAGACTGCCAGGACTCCCCGTGAGGAATGGTTGAGCCCTGTGAAGTGCAGGTCCTGCTCCTGTGCCCACCCACACTCTGGTGCTTTACAGGTCAGGGCCTGCTACAAGGGATGGCCTACACTGTGCAGGGCCCACCAGGCCGGCCTGGCCCCCAGGGGCCCCCTGGCATCAGCAAGGTCTTCTCTGCTTACAGCAACGTGACTGCAGACCTCGTGGACTTCTTCCGAAGTAAGTGTACCCCCGATTGCCCTCCTAACACATAACTTGCCTAGTCTCACATGGATCCTGCCCCACAGAGACTTTTTTTTTTTTTTTTTAAATTGTGATTTGGGTGAAAGTTTACAGAGCAAATTCACTTTCCATACAGCAGCTCACATACACTTTGTCTCATGACAATGACTACAATTTCCCACGATGCAACAGCTCCCCTCCCACTTCCTCCCTATAGTTACCTCTTCTCTGTGTCCTTCTCTCCATGCACTCCTGCTGCCAGACAGAAACTAATCTCTTTAAAAGCCTCCAACAAACACTTGAGGTGATGAAAATCTGATAAATTCTAAACTGTATTCCTCTTACGAGTGCGAACTCTCCCACCACCCACCTGTGTTACTTTGCTCACTTCACCTCCCAAACTTCAGGGCCTTCTCCAATCTAAACCCAGCTTTTTCCACCCTTGCAGCTTATGGTACCATTCCAGGACCCCCTGGGCAGAAAGGAGAGGTGGGCACCCGAGGACCCAGAGGTAAGTGGTGGCAGGAAACCAAACCCACCAGGAAATAGCCACCAGCCTCCTAACTAGCAAGCTCCCTTCCCAGTGCTAAACTGGGCTGTGTCACTCTGAGCGCCTTCCAGTCTTCATTATTCATTCATTAGTCATGCTCCCTGATTGTCCTTCTAGGTGAGAGGGGCCCTGCAGGACCACCCGGACAGCCTGGCCCACCTGGCCCCCAAGGGCACAAGGGAGAAAAAGGAGACAGAGGTAAGCTTCCAGGGTGCTGGGAAATGGCGCTCCCGAGGAACGGGTGATTGGTTCCAGGACAAGCCTGGAAAACGGAGGCAAATGCCAATTATGAAAGGCAGAGGCTGCTAGGCACATAATGTGCATAACAATCAAAGTAACAGCTAGGAGGGAAGCTGCTGGTGCAGAGGAAAAGGGGACTAACGTGGTAATGGAAGAGGGTTAACAACGTAATCAACCAATAGTCTTAGAAAAGACTGACTCTTTCATCTCTGCAGTTGACATCGTTGCCTGAGCTGAAGTCCCCACAGGCCATTAACATTCTCTTTTTTAATTTCCTGCTCATCCTCTACTTTTCAGGTGACCAAGTCTATGCTGGGCGGAGAAGGAGAAGAAGTATTGCAACCAGGCCATGAGCTACCTTGACAGAATAGCCCCCTGAATCAGTTCTTGCAATGGCTTCTGGTGCTTCCATCAAATTCTCTCCAGAGGGTGAGAGCTGGAGTCTGTCAGCTTCCTACCAAGACCACATAGTCAGATAGGCAACTAGCAACACTTGTTTTAGTCTGGAACTATATATATATTTATAAACATATATACACAGTTAAAGATATACAATTTGGAAGCACTTCACTGGGTGGACTTTAAGAGTAGCTGCAGTGTTTGAGTGAGACCGACTTTTTTGCTATCTAGATGCGAGCTCCTTGGACGTCCTGAACACTTGGCTCAAGCCCCAACCAGGGAAAGCCAGTTATACAAAGTTGGCTCAGGAGTCTGTGCTTTGCCTAAAAATGAGCCTAGAAACTGAAAGTAGGGGAAGAGGACACCTCCCTAGAGGTGATACTTGATAGGGGTATGTCTGTTTAATGCCATAAGACTGCGCCTGCAGTTCCTTCTTTTCCTGTTCACTCTATACACTAGTCACAGTAGAGTCCAGGAAATCACTCTTAGAATTGAGTAAGTTAAGAAATCCCCTTCCCCTGTAGGAGGTGACAGGGTTTCTTCTTATTTCTTACTACGTATCATATTCCCACTGGCTTAGCAAGTTTACATTTGATTGTAGTTATGATCTGTATCCATAGGTCCATGATGGAGTTTGGAGATATTATACCGAGCTAGACTGCAGCAAATAGAAAAAAGAAGGGCAATGGGCAAGGGAGCCTGGGATGGAGAGAGGGAAAATGGAATGAACATCTGATAAGGGGAAGGATGGCTTCAGCTGGAGATGGTGCCCTTTGTCTGCATGTAGAAAATGGCATGGGGGCAGTGGGTAGTTGGTTTTTAAGCACTTTTCAATGTCTAAAAACATTTGTATGCAGTCTGTAAGATGAAAAGACATTTCAAGTGTAAAATTTCTATTAAAGTTTTTTTTTTTTTTTTAATGTTTAATGTGATACATACACACACATATTCCAGATTAATTGGGCCTCTGATACTATCTATTACAAACACAAGAAAGCAGAAACTGCTGTATTTTGCAACTGGCATTTTGTTTAATCACTGAGATCTTTAAAGGCAAACCTTTATCTGCAAGGACTAAATCAATCTGGGCACATTACCAAGCATCTGAAGGTTTCCGCTAAGCACATTTTTTGAAATAAACACATATGCAACACATGAGCAACCAGATTATTTAGAATCACTGTGGTGATTTATCCTAGGATAAAGCAGTTACAATTTTGTGGTGCACGTAACAATAAACGGAATCTCAAAATCCCTATTAAGGAGAAATGGCCCACAGAAATGCATAGTACCATCAGGGACTCAACTTCAGAAGAGGCTATACTTGGTCAGTTTATAAATTCGTTACAATCTGTGACTATCAATTTCTGGACAGTTAAAAATGGGGTTAAATTAAATCGACTTCTACACCTTCTCTTCTAAAACTGAATTTTTTTTTTTTTTCCCCGAAGACTTACATGGTCTATTTGCCTCCTTTACTGCATCCTGCAGTTACTTGGCTATGAAGCAATATAGATTTTTTTTTTTTTTTTAAATTCTACATAAACCCTGGGAGCTCTGCCAGCATAGCGCCTAAAGCACTTGACTGCTAACCAGAAGGATGCGGTTCAAACCCACCAGCCACTCCTTGGAAGGAAGGCTGGGCAATCTACTTCCGTAGTGATACCGCCTTGGAAACGCAAGGAGGGGTTGCTATGTGTTGGGGCCGACTTGATGGCACATCACAACACAACAACATAAACCCTGAGAATTTCAGAAAACTTGCGTTTTACTTCAAATTAACAACTTCAATTTTACTGTCTAATGAAAACTTACTTTTGTCTATAATGAATGGACCAGGCCTTTTTATTTTTTCTAAATAAATCAGTTTTACCCAGTCAGAACCCATTTATTTTCCTAATAGCTTCAGCAGCTCATGTATCTTAACAATGATTCTTGTCTGAATTAATCAGATTTATACGTTCTTCCCCAGTTACTAGGTTTACCTCACTAGGATATCAGAGTCTTCAGTTCTATGCCCATATGACATAGGGCAGAGTCCAAACCTGCTACCTTCTATGAGCAGAACCCACAAAGAGGACATGGCAGGTATGTCTTCAGCTGGATGGCAAGAATCTGAGCCTCTTTTGTTCCATTTTTTTTTTAAAAAAAAAAAAGGGGCCACGAATGAGCTCAATAGCCTGCAATGCTCCTACATTAGAAAATGCCACGCCCTGCCTCCCTCCAGCAGGGCTGGACACTTTCCAAATGATGCTGCCTAGTGTCTGCTGAATCTTGCATGAACAACTCAATGACAAAAAGAGGTTATTTTTTCAGAAGTGAAAAAGTTTGTGAAATATTTGGTGAGAAAAACAATGCACCCCAACGGAAAAACAGGAAATAAAAATGTACGTATCCATGTTGATGAAAATATTTTAAGCCCTGTCCCTAAAGAAGGGGTTTTCAAGCTGAAAGATACCACCCTTCAAGTTACTAGGAGAAACCAGCTGTGTGTGTGTGTGTGTGGGGGGGCTGACAACAGAAAGCTATCAATACTAGCAAGTTTGGAAAGGTGGAAAGATCTGAAGGACTGTACTGCTCAACCACTGGCCGAAAGACTGGCAGTTTGAAACAGAGGTGCCTCAGAAGGCAGGTCTGGGGATTGGCTTCCAAAAGCTCACAGCCTTGAAAACCCTATGGATCGGTGCTACTCTGCACACGTGGGGCCGCCATGCGCAGGAACCAACTTGAGCGCAACACACAACAGGATGAAAAAGCCTGCAAAGTGCTCTCCAGCAGGATAATCACAATTAAAGACTCCAATAAAAGACTGCTCCCCAAAACAGATGAAGAAATAACTTTATTTTTCATTTGTCAGTTCCATGATTGAAAAGACATGTTTGCTCCCAAACAGACAAGAGGAATAATCTGAAACAAATTTTTTTTCTGAAAATTTAGCTTGTCAAGTTATTACTGCAAATCAGAGGAGGGTCACAAAAAGCTGCAGCCAACACTTAAGACTGGTGTAACACTCTACCCCAAGCTTAGTAGCAGAAATTTTAAAGCTGTATTAAAAACATGTCAGCCACAGACGAGCAACAATAGAGGGCCTTACTGTTGGGCCTTCAACTGAGAAATGCATTTAAAATATCACCCCATTTCATTTAAAAGATCATTTTCCAGAAAAGAATTATTTCCTGAAAAGACTATTAGAACTGGAACTAACTCCCCCCTCCCACCTCAGTTCTACGTTTTTCTTTAATCAACAATAACTCTAGGTGATTATTTGACAGATTTTGGCTTCAGAAGAGTATTTGTCATTTAAGCACAGTGTGGAACGGGGGAAAAAATGTGTCGTTATAAGGGATCTAGAAGAGTACAAAAGACAGTACCTTCTGAAACTCGCTGATGCTCAAGAAATCAGAGACCCCCCCATTAATGTGGGTCTCATATGCCTGAGAGCTTTGTGCTTGAGGAGACACTCCTTAGAGGTAGCTCTGGTTCTCTGGTTTGTATTTCATTACGATTTGCTCTATCCTGTCCCAGGAAGGTTCTAATATTTTCAGCAAAGGTAAGCATGCTAAATCTGCTCCTTACTCTCCCTATAGCTTCCTCACAGAAAGGGTAAGAAGATGCTTAACTGTGACTCTGTATGAGAATAGCAGCTAATTCAGCAACTGACACCCAGTTCTGGATTGACAGGACGAGGGAAGGCAAGCTGGTGCTAGGGGCTCTACGAGCTAGACCTGCGACCTGCAAGGTGTGGAGGTCTGGGGTATTCACAGCACTCAGGGAGTCGTCAGGGTGCAAGCACGGAGGATGTGAACTCATAGCACACGCTGCCATAGCAGCGCAAACCACCAAGTCAGGAATGGATGTGCCCGCACGCTCAGACTTCAAAGCTGTTTCACTCCCCCACTCACACCCACACTTAAGCAAGAAAAAAGATCACTATCATCTACTTGAAGAGAGGGCACAGCAAGAGGTGGCAGGTATGGGGACAAACAGCATACTCTTTAACAAAACGCTTTTTGGAAAGATTTCTATGAAGTGAGTGTTTCACCTCTACCTGTGTATCATTTTGTGGTCCTCCACCCACATGAAGATGTCCTACTTGAAAGAGAACTCCTGTGTGAACACTGAATCCAAAGGGCAGTTTTAAGGGAGATGCAAAATTGCTAATAAACTTACCCACAGTGTCAATCATTCCACTCTGAGCCTTTCCACTTTATTCAATAATTTGAATGTCAAGGTGAAAAGAAGAGAATGAATTAAATATTCAGACCAAATTAATTATTTGCTACAAACTATTCTGCACACATGATATCACTTATATGATCCTGAAAAAATGTCCACTGCCTGAAATATTAATTTTTAAAAAGCCAATAAACTGAAATTTTCAAAGGAGAAAGGGATATGAGAACCTTCCTCTCTTCTCACTAATCAAATAAATCATTAAATACACTGGGCAACACTATATCGTCATTTTTACCATAAGAATATAAACAATTTCCATCATCATCCTGAATATTACTTTATAAAGACATGTATTTTCAAAGGCTTTCATAACATTTTTCAACCCCGCATTAGAGAATAAAGCATTAAAAGAGTTCGGTATACAGTAACAGATCCATATGATAAGTGTATGAATTTACAACCATACATAATATATATATTTATATATATGTATATATTTATATAAAAAACAAACTTGGCCAGAAATTAAGGCTAGCTACAAAGTTATCCAAGTAAATTATGCTTATCAAAAACAGTTACAAAATTAAAATCACACATGCATTTTCAAATCATCTAAACAACTAACAAAATAAGCTTCAGCATCCAAAGTTTTCAAATTCACTACAGGAAAGTGCTAGAGACATTGACATTTTCTTAATACGAATCAGTGTTCCCACAAAGTTACATTTAAATTCTTCACCAGCCTCAAACACAACTAAAAACGGAAGCTTTCACAATTTGGTACCTTGCACTCTGGAAAAAGAACCGGTAGCCAAGAATAGGCAATGAGCATCATTTACAGATGTGCTACTTCACACACCAGAGGACACATGGTGGAAATACTGCCTGACCTGACACAGGGTGGAAATCCTCAAGAGAGGAGAAAACATTTAATCGATAATGACACATACCAGCAATCCCATGATAAAGGTTTCAGACTTTCCCCACTCAAATCAAAGTAAGGAATTTAAACTTGGAACAAAATAAAACCAAAATACAAGTGACCTCATTTCAAAACAACAAAAACAAAAAGACATTTCTAACATATGTCTAGATATTTAATTTAAATACTTTTAAAAGTATTCTCAACAAATGCCTCTTTAAAGATTAATATCAGAACATACATTTATAAATATAACTCAGAGCCTATATACCTGAGTATCACTTTATAAAGACATGTAATGAACAAACAGAATTTGCTAGGATGGGGAGAAGTCACTTCACCAGCTCGTGTGTTATTTTAGGACGTAAACTGGAAGAGATAAATCCAAATCACTTTTAATTTGCTGAGTTTTACATTTCCCACTTGGACATCTAAAAATTACCTTTTTTTGCTCTTGTTCATATTTCTAAACTTTGTACAACATGCATTTTAGGATGAAAACGATGAATGGTAATAAGAGCAAGATTTTAAAAAACAGTAATATTTGATGCTAAGGGCATTTTTGTCCCTTTGAATAAAAAAAGAAGATCCTACTATAAACTTGATTGAAATTTAGTGTTTGAGGCACTATATTAACAAAACTAGCACCTTTCATTATTATCTCGTGACTAAATAGGTAATAATTTTAGACAAATTAATGAAATAAATTTTCTCTTTTAAAAGAGTTTGTTTCTATGTTTAGAGATAAAATATACTTATTTCCTCAATTAATGGCATATTTGGAGCAACTCATAGATAGCTTTCTCAAGAGAGTTGATTCACCAAAAGAAACTGTTCCAACTCTACAGCAGAGTTTCTGCTATAGCATTTAGGCATCACTGAGACATTAGATCAGATAAAAAGATATTTATTGATACCTAAGTGATGTAACAGTTGTTTTTTTTTTTTGTTTTGTTTTTTCAATAACTTTAAACATTATTTCTCCAGCAGTTTGTCAAGTAACCATGTCTAAAGAACAAAAATATTTAGAGTAATATACAAAATCACCTTAGGGAATTACTGCAAGATGCCACTCTGCCAACATGGCCCAGCATCTGTCTTAGTTCCTTTCCCCTTCATCTTTGCTTTAAAACAAACAAACAAACAAATGAAGAACACCTAGAAGGTGAGGCAGGTGATTGTCTCTGGGAGCTCTGTGACACAGACCGTGGCAGAAGACAAAGAGAATAGAATGATATATTCAAGAAAGCCAAACCCAATCACAGAACGCTTGCCATTGCTACGACCCGGTGGAATGCAAGCTGGGAATAGGGTAGAATTTGGAAATCCGGCTCTGTGTTGAAGGGTTAAGGCATTCAGACTCCCCGGTCATTTTAAAGAACACTTCCTGTTCCTGCAGTTTCCTGGCAAACTCTTCTTCCAGTGTCTTAAAAGGAAGGGACAAAGAAGTGGTTATGTGCTGGTGTTACAAACTGCATTTACCCTGACAGCCAAGACAAAAACTTGCCCCAAACACTTTCTTTTTATATTACTGTACAGAAGACAGGACTATCCAAGAGTTAACATCACATGTTTCACAGCCCTGGGGTCCAGTCTCAACTTGGCCACATGAATGGATAAACCAAAAAACTCACTGCCGTCAAATCAATTCCAATTCATAGCAACCCTATAGGACAGAGTGAAACTACCCCATGGGATTTCCAAGGCTATATCCTTTACCGAAGCAGAATGCCACATCTTTCTCCCTCAGAGAAGCTGGTGGGTTTGAACCACCGACCTTTTGGTTAGTAGTTAGTAGCTGACTAACCACTGCACTACCAGGGCTCCTTTATGAATGGATGGTGTGGACCAATGAACTTTTCTGTATCACGAAATCATTTAATATGGGGATCATATCACGTGCCTCACTGGGTTGCTCTATGAAGATTAAACATGATCAAATGAGTGCACCACACACCACTCACTGAACAGGCAGCACCTATTAACACGGCACTTACTTTTTATTTGGTGAATGATATGCATGTCGTTTTTTCCTACACTGCACTATAAGTTGCTTGAAGATAAGCCCTAAACCAGATTCACCTTCATACCCCACAATACAGAGCAAAAAAAGGGCTTGGTAAACATTGGAGTTTTCAGTGCCTTTGCGGACAAGCGATGTAGGGGTAAATGCTCTTGCAGAGATACAAAGTATAGGAGAAGATGGAAGGAGACAAGATGATTTCTCAGAGAAGATGAAACAAGCTCAGCCTTGAAATAAAGATAAGAAAAGGGCAGCATTTACTCAGGATAAAGCTCAGGAGACAGGAAGGGACAGGAAAGAAGGATGAATGGAAACAGTAAACACAGGGAGGAAGTGGGAAGAGAGCTGTTACATTGTGGGGACTGCAATCAATGTCACAGAACAAAATGTGCATGAACTGTTGAATGGAAACCAATTTCTATAAACTTTCACCCAAATCACAATTTTAAAAGTTGGGGAAAAAAAAAGTAAAAAAAGAGGAATTTGATACACAGGATGTAGATGGCATGCTAGTCGGAGGGAACAGCTGGATCAACAGCACAGGGCAGGAGACCATAGGGTCAGGGTGGGGACTGGTGACTAAGCTATGCTGGACTACGAACAGAGAACAGAGAAAGCGGCTAATGAGAAATGATGGCAGAAAGGCTGATTATGGTCAAAGTGCGCCACTATGAAGGTTTCCAAGACAAACTGAGACCTTTGCATTTCATTCTGGTGGAAATGAAGATTCAGCAGTACTACCACAACATTGTTGAAATGTTCCTGAGGATGAGTACTTTGGTGACAGCATGAAAATAGGCTGAGAAGGGAGGACACTATAGCTCAGAAGCCCATCAGGACATTAGTGAACAATTTTCACAAACAGAAGGAAGACTGTAATGAGAAAGAGAATGAGAAATATGAAGAGTCGAAATTTGTTGGCATCTGACTGAATGCGGGGGGTGGTACAAATAAAAAATGGTACCAGTTTCTAGCCTACCTCTCAATTAAGAGAGCAGTAATGATGGGAAGATCATCTGATAGTGGATGGGGATGGGGGGGAGGGAGAAAGTGAAATGGAAATGAAGGAAAAAGGATGCTGAGTTTGGTTTTACTTCCACTGAGTTTTCATTCTTCAGTCAACACTCAACAAGTATATATTGATCATTTACAATGTTCCAGGAGTTGTTCATCACTGAGCAAAGAGACAACATCCCTGCTTTTCAGGGAGTTTATATTCTTGTGAAATTAGACAACAATAAAGAAATATGCCTGATGGTGATGAATAGTATGAGGAAAAAAAGAACAAGTGAGGAGACAGAACATTTTAGGTGGCATGGGGAGTATTTTATAGATTAGTGATCTAAAACAACGAACTTTTGAGTAGATATTTGAAGAGGACTGAATGAAATAGGGAATGGAACATGTAGATAAAAAATGTGAGCTCAGAGCTTGAACTGGTAATAAAACAGTAAGTAATAATACCAATAGCAACAATTCAATGAACTCTGACTGTGGCTCAGGTACTGGGATGAGCATCACTTGTTTTAACTCTCTTAGCCCCAATTAGGTAAGGACCTTCATCCTCATTCTTCAAATGAGTAAAACCGGGCTTAGAAACGTTAAGTGGCAAAATTAATCAGTAAGTGGCAACAACGAGATCTGAACCCAGGTTTGCCTGACTCTAGTGTTTGTGTTCTGTACTACCCTTACTCCACCAGCTTTGAAACTGTCTTAATTAGGCAACAGCTGAAGCCATGACTAGCTACAATAGCGCCACAGTCAAGACTATAGGGAAAGAGCAGCACTAAGGATGGAAAGTCTGGGAATGTCTACATTTCAGGTGACAAGATTTTTAACAAAAGTGCCTCTGATAGGGAAGTGATCTTCACTTGGGTCTATACAGGAAGACCACAGAATCTGGTTCTTAACAACTCACTCATGGCCAGCGTCAACCAAGCTCAACTGGGGCTTGCTAGAGGCAAAGGGAAACTGGAGAGAGGGATTCTGCACTGTTTGCCTTTTGAATTCTGAACCAAGCGCATGCATTACCCATCCAAATAAAAAGGCAAATAAATAAAATTTAAATTAAAAAGCCACACTATCAACTGATTTAGTCATTTCCTTTCCTTTAGAAATTCTTAGCACTTGGTAGGGGCTAAATATGTATTTCTCTGATTGGTCAATTAGATGAATGGAGGGAAGGAATAGTAGAAATATACAGCAGGGAGGAAACCCAAGAGAAAAAAAGGGTTTATGATTGAAGGTTAGCACAGGGATAAGGATATGGTGATAGCAAAAAAGAGTTGAAATGGTTGATCAGCAGGACCATGCTAGCAGGGAGCCAAGTACAAACAGGGAAAATGGATGGACCAAGGGAAGGAGAAAAAGGGAGGGAGAGAGATGACTCCTATTTTATTGGACTGTAAATTAATTAGCACACAAGGCTCTTGTAATCTGGCTGCAGTCTACCTGTCCAGACTTACCTGTCATCACTTCGTTTTTCTTTCTCTCCCTACCCAGTACCTATGCACAGGCACACACACCTCTAGGAAACTACTTGCAATTCTCTGTACATCATTTTCACTCATGTTCTTTTCTCTACATAAAATGCCTCCCCCACCCCAGGCCGTCCACCTAGTGAGCTCTCACTCATCCTTCAAGCCTCACTTTGCTTACAGTAAAGGCAATTCCTCCCCACAGCCTTTCTTGACTCCCAGGCAGATTTAATCACGCCTCCTCCTCCTTTCCTTGCACACTGTGCTCCTTTCCACAGTCTCTTACGCTTTCCTCCTTCAGAGCAAAGATCTTAAAGATCTCTCATTGCTTGTCACTAGATTCTGTATCTTCTACACCTGACACACATGCAGTAAAGAACCAATGGCTGGTTGGATGGATGGATGAATGCAAGCATATAATTTTAAATACAGCTTTTAAAATCACCTTTTTCCTAGGTCTCAATTTCTCTCTCCACTCCTTTAGTTCTTGGCTGTGTTCTTCATCTAATTCCTTTAGTTTCTGAGTCTCATGCTCAACTAATAGGTGACATTTTTCATTCTGTAAATAAAGTTTGGATTAAAAAGAATTTCAGATCAACTAAGCAACTTTTCATAAAAGCAATGATCTTCTAAAATAATATATTACTCATCAGGCTATTACTGAGATTCAAGTTCCCCTCCAAAAACCAAATGCCAAGAATTACGAAATGAGTCATAACATCGTTTTTGCAAGATTAGAAGCTGTATCTATAGCTTACCATATAAAAAGAACTTAAACAGAAAGAATAAGTTTGAGTCTTTGTTTATCCTTTCTAAAGTTTCTCATAAAACTGACACTTTAGAAGGCAGTTTATATGCATTTTATCCATTGGTACCAGAATGTGGAATTAGTGAACGAAGCAAATATATCAAGTACCCATCATGTCTTCACAGTCTACAAATGCACTGAAATTTTAAACATTTTAGGCTAAATACTTCAGGTAGAATCCAAAAAAGGTCCACTCTTAAAGTAGCCTTGATAAATTCCCATATAAAGTGGAAGAGTGATGTTGCACTGTGGGGATTATAAATGATGTAACAAAAAATGTCTATGAATTGTTGAATGGAAAACTCAATTTGCTCTGTAAAGTTTCACTCAAATCATAGTAAAAAGTTAAAAAAAATTCCTATATATTTTAGTTTGTCACATTTTTCAAAAACCTAAAAGAAAATGAATGATCTCTCTAAATGCAAAAAATTTTAAATTCAGAATCTGAAAACAAACTGTCTAGTTTGAAAACTTAGTATCTTTTTTGCAAAATATGCTAAAAGCAATACACAACACTCCTTTTGAGAGAAATAATTTTTCAGATTATAATTTAGCTGCACGTTTATATGAATCATGGTTATATAAAATCTAAACAAGCACTTAACAAGTAACTAAAGTGATCTGCACTTGGTCTACACGGGAAACTCAGCCTTCAATCCCAGCATCTTCATGGGTAATATGCAGTGTACTTGGTTAGCTACTGCTTTCCGAAACAGCCACTGTGTGGTCCAGCCACAAGCTCTGTTGGCCTGTTGCTCTATCTAACCTGCAGCTGATGCAGTTCTCGGACATTGGCTTCACACTGCAACTGGAGATCCCGCATCTGATTTTCATGCTTTTGATGCTGAGCCATTCTCTCATTTTTCTGCCTCTTTTCTTCTTGAGTGGCAAACTATAAATAAGAAAAATAAAAGATAGTTAATGAGCATTGTAATTTGTGCATATTCTAAATGAGTAATTAAGGAATTTAATAAAACTTAAAGTATGAGAAGCTAAAGCTGCAAGTAATAATATACTGTTACTCAAAACTGGAGTCTACATCATGGCTTTGGGGAAAACTTCTGATTAAAATCTCCTGTCTGCCCGGTGACATTAGTTAATTTGCATATGAGACCTGTGCCTACAGAAGTATTATAATGAGGCCTGTGCATTAACTTAAAAATCTGTCCTCATCATCTCATTCCCATGGTTGCTCTTAGGACCAGTCTAGCCCAGAATCTGGAAAAGGGCATAGGAAGGAGGGCCTTGCCCTTTGTGGTCACCATCTTAGGAAGACTAAGTTGGTATGTGCCATATATTTGGACCCAGCACACAGAGCTGAACTGAGTATCAATAAACACAAGGTGGCTCTAATTATTTACAATACAACTACGTATTACTTCTAAAAATCGTGTAATATTTTAAAACCTGAAAAAGAAGAGACTAATTTACTTATTTACCTGTTTAATTTTCTCACGGTCCTGATCTGGTGTAGCTGTTGAATTAATTCTCAAACTTTTCTTAAACATGGCCATTCGAGTCTTGGCTTCGCTGCGCTGAATCTTGGGCAGTCTTGCTCTTTCCTGAGTCTGTCTGTTTTTCAATTCCTCAATAAGTCGTTGATTGTAACGCTGCATTTGTTCTGTTTCCTAAGAAAGTTTTAAACACAATCCAGTGATGTAGGTATAATTTAATACCCAGTACACACATGTATGGGAGCTCTAGTAGCGTACCTAAGGCACTTGACTGCTAACCAGAAGGCTGGTGGTTCAAACCCACCAGCCACTCCTCAGAAGGAAGATGGGGCAATCTATTTCCATAGTAAGACTGCCTCAGCAACCCAAGGAGGGGTTGCTATGAGTCAGGGCCAACTCAATGGCACATAAAAACAACAACAACAACACACATGTATGTTCAAACACATACTTTTTTTGTTGTTTCTCAAAAAACCCAAGCTTTCTGCCATTGAGTCGATTCCAACTCACAATGACCCCCTTTGGGTGTCCAAAGCAGTAAATCTTTACAGAAGTAGATTGCCCAGTCTTCCTTCCAGAGTGGCTGGTGGGTTTGAACTGCCAACCTTTTGGTTAGCAGTCAAATGCCTTAGGGCACTGAGCCACCAGAACTCATTTCTTCTTGTACAGGGACCACCAAAGTATCAAGCAAAAAAGAATTTACAAGGAAAATAAGTTACAAGTGATAAGAGTCATATTGGAATTCTCTTTCACTAAGTCCAGGGAGTCCACGTTTTTTAAATACTTAAATCATAAACGGAGCCAAAATAGCTACCTTTGAGAGACAAGATGAAGATCACAATGCATAAGATGCCTTTAAACAATGTAATCAGTTATCTTCCTTATAATGTGTAGAAAAGAAGTTTGCAACCATGATCAAGATATAATTTATTACTCCAAACTTCATCAGAGAAATATTACGATAAAATAAAGACAGAACAGGACTTTAAAATTCATTCTCTAAAATATATAATTGGCAAAACTGAATTATTTTGCAATCCTTAAAATGAACAAGAGTGAACAAATTTCTATTCATTAACCTTCTCATGGCGCTTAAGTAGCTGATGTCTTTGCATGAAATACTGATCTTTAAGTTGCTGTTTGAGCATCTGGTGTTTTTCTTGTAAGTGTCTTTCTTCAAGCTCCCAAATTGCAGCTTCTCGGGCTAGAATAAAAAAGCAATTTTCAGTATATCACTTTGCTCTTTCTACTAATGTACTTTTAGTCTTAATTTTGATATTTATATAAAAATATTCTATATATAATAATTTATGCACACACTGGCATTCTAAGCTAGAAATGAAATTTTACCAATGTAAAGATATTAATATCTATTATTACTTTTGCTGTTTCCAATTTCCTATAAATAGTGACTGCCCCATTCCCAACATCAAGATTTCATTTAATCATGTTAGTAAAAAAGAAAATAATGCAAGTTAAATTGTTAGGGGAAATAAGTGCTTAAAATCACATTCTATTATGCAACCATTAAGTATGCCCACAACTGCAATGCGTAACGAGTACACAAACTCATGCAGGTATATTTCTAGCCTCATCTGGACAAAGGTATTTAAAGAGTTACGTTCACTTCTATGTCATGAAATCATTCTCTATCTTGCATAAAATAATTCCATTTCTTAAGTTTTTTCTCTTATTTACCACAACTTTCTTTATCCTTCTCTCCACCACCCTAGCAAAGGAAAGCATTCATCTGCTTTCCAAGTTGTATCTTAGCCATGTTTGGAAGGCGCACATTTATGTACACACACATGCTGCATAATGAACGGCACGCACCTCTCATGAGTTGCTGTTTATTACTCAGGCACTCTCGTTCAATATTGGCTAACTCTGCCTTCTGTTGTTGGATGATCTTTTTCAAAGAGCCATCTAATTCTTGCTGTTGCTTCTGAACAAACTCTTGTTCCTGTGAGATACAGTTGCCCATAAGTTAGCAAGTATCAATAATCACTTACCTGTATGACTATATATTACAAGCTAACAAGATTTCCAAACCAAGTTTGTTGGATTTAGAAATCATCAAATTTATACAGTATATATATAACATAAATGGATTAGTCACCCAATTCAAGCCCAGAAAAATAAAGACTTATAATATATAATATTCTAAACTTACTGTTAAGAATGATACACACAAAGGAAGTCTCACTCATAATTAAAATGCCCTATTATACTGGGATCTTTGGGAAAATAATACATTTGCAGTTTCTAAAACTGACTCTTTATTCCACTATGGTTTGGATAAAACAAAAAAAAAATGCCCTTTAGGAAAAAAAATAATAGTAGCTAATAAGTAAAGCAGGTATCAGAATTTTAAACTCCCTATTTTTCTAAGAAATAAAGAATTATGAAGAAGCATCATGATTATACTAACAGAGAAAGGTAGTTTCTGTATCTACAGATTGTGTCTGAAAAAGAGAACAAGGGCTGAGGACTTAATGAGAAATAATTCATTACCAGAGAGATGTGAGCTGGGAATAGGACAAGAAAGTTACATATTATAGATCTAGAAACAAAATTCCTTTATAATCCAGGGTCCTAATAATACATTTTATTTGGGATTAATTCGTTCATTCAAGTATTTGAGTATACACTATTTACCCAAATGCCAATTTTATGATTTTAAAAAATTCAATTACTGTGTAAGAAAAAGAAATGTTACAATGACTTGTAGTCTTTATGCTAGATCATATATTTGTAAAAGAAAAAAAAAATCCAAATTAAAGAAATATAAATCTGGCCAGTAAATATTTGGACCTCCATTGCTTTCTTAGCAGTTATACTGGTTTGTGATTACCTCAAGGGATATTCAGATCAGTTTAGATTTGGAAAGTTAGAATTGAAGTAGCACTCCTCCCCATAATCCCTCCTCTGGTATATCCAAGAGGAGAAAAACCCAAGATCCATTTTAGAACTATTCTTACGACTTGGACAGAGCCTGCCAATGATCTGGATTGCTACCAACCTAGTGTTCAGGACACAAGGTAGTCAGTCTAGCAATGTTCCTCAAGATGTTTGCCTCACTGCAGTGTTTCTGGACTTCCTGGATGGTGGTGCAAATAGTTAAGCACTGGACAACTAACCAAAAGGTTGGCAGTTTGAACCCACCGAGGCACCTTGGAAAAGAGCTGGCGCTCTGCTTCCAGAACGTCACAGCCTTGGAAACTCTATAGGGTCTAGTTTCACTCTGTACACATGGTGTTACCATGAGTCAGAATTAACTCTATGGCAACTGGATTTGATTCTAGAGGTCAGAATCAGTTCCTTACAGTTCATGACATTGTATTAAAGGAACCTGGAGTCACACTTGCTGTCTCATCTGTATCTCATCAGAGACATTTTAGCATAAATAGGAAGACAGAAAATTATAGAAGAAAAGCCTAAGAAATTGCTTCTATAAAATGAAATTACCAACTTGACTACACCTATATAATTTTATTATAGCCAAAAGAAACTCAACATCTAGAATAAGGGCTTTTGGGTAAAGAGATACAAAATCTGCATGCCTATCTTTTAAGCCATTATAATAAAAAAAGGAAACTGTTCAAGCCTCTCTAAATTGTCTTTTTTTTCCTACAGTAAATATTATTTGTAATAAAAATTATTATTTCTTTAAGTTTGTGATAAAATTTCTGTATGTAAAACTTATTTAATAAATAACCTATAGATATATCAAAGGGCTCTCTTTTGTTCAAAATTTTTACTATTATATATAGAATTTAAATATATATGTGTATGTATTTGCATGTGTGCAGGTGTGCACACAGAAACAGGAAAAATGAGTCCTAATTAAGTAGTGTAAATGTAAATCTTACATTTAAGCTCAAAGAAATCAAGTCCAAAAGTATAAGATGGGATGAATAAACACATTATTTATATGGAATAAAAAAGGTAAATAAGCCAGTGTCACTACATATACAAGTGAATGAAATTTCTGATCAGTGCAATTTTTGGTCATATTACTATAACATATTCATGTTTAGACTAAGCAAGCAAGAGTTCACTTCAAAGAAAATCTTTATTATGCAAATGCTGGGTGCTATACTAAGCACAAGGGTTACAAAAATTAACAGTTTTTATCCTCAAGGAGCTTCTACTTTATTGGCACCAAGTACTTTGTCTGTTGGACTACACAAAGAATAGTTTGTCTCTTAGTATCACACACTTACAAGTTCAAAAATAAACCACAGCAAACTCAAAACTAGAATAAAGGGTCCAGAAACCATGCCTCACAATACATGACTGGAAAAACCAGGAAATGATGCTCTGAAGCAGCAAATACACGGGGGAAGAGAACAGCTAAGACTTACACAGAAGTGAGTAAAAGTAGCATTGTGCTGCTCCAGAGGTAAAGGTAGGATTAAGAGTCAAGGTACGCAGATATAAGCCCAACATAAGGAACGGCTTCCTAACAATCAGAGCTAGCAAAGAAACTAGCTGCATTGTAGAGCTATGGACTTGAACAGGTAAGCAGAGTCTGAATGACTATATAGTCAGTCACAAAAGATTTTTATATTAAATCCAAAAATCACCTGAAAGTCCCTCTCATATTAATGAATATATTTTATTACTGCAAAAGAAATTAAAATTTAATATTATTGAGTTTCCATTAAATCTCCTGACTTCAAAACTCAAGTACAGTACATTCACAATGAAATTTGTAATTAGAAATTACTCTTAGGAGTAATTAAAAGGAAAGAGATCTTAACATTTCAAAGATTGAACAAATATCATTCACCTTAAAAAAAAAAGTGACAGATGGATGTGATCACTAGGAGGAACAAATAAAAGAACTTGAAGTCTTAAGGCCAAAAGTCATTTTTAAAAATGGACACATAAATCGTAAATGAATGCCCTTTAAATGTACAAGCATAAGGAATTTTCTATTAGATAACTATAAACATTAAAAGTACAACTCTGGGTGCTAGAAAACTGTTAGAAAGGGTTATGACATACTGGACTATTTGCAAAGATTTTGATCATTTTAAGGCAAAAAAAAGGCTAAAAATGGAAATGATCAGAAAAGTGATCATAATTCATAGTTTCTCTCTCTCCTTTAAAAAAAAATCAGTGTTTTGCTTACTATTTTAGAAAACTGTAAGAGTCCAACAGCTGCCAATGGAAAAAAAAAAATGTCTAATTCCAGGAGAGGAGAAAGAAGGGTTTGAAATCAAGCTGTATTCTATCTACTCCAGTTGTGTATATCAAACATCACAAACAAAAATTATAGTGTTAAATTAGCTAGTCAATTCCCTATGGAAACTGTGAGAAAGAATACAGCATGGGATTCCAGACTTAATTTAAAACTACAATAAAGAGAATAGCAACTCACTATTCATTACTGAGAATTTGAATGAATGAAAGCTAGAGTGAAATGGAACTAAAATCACTACTTTTAATATGGCTTTTCTGACCATACCCATAATTAAGACATCTACATAAACATATATGCAATCAAAATGTCACTTCACACAAAGATAAAAATCTAATCACAGCATTCAATTTCTCACATGTGCAGAACTTATAAATACTATTGGGAAGATACTTTATTTAAGATGAAAATCACAAATTAAAATTATATGGTAGGGCAGATAAAAAAAAGAGAACACTGTCTTAGAAGTGTTCTAGCTCCAGCTCTACCATTGAATCTCTTGTGTGACTTCATACGTCACGTAAGTCTCCTGTGCCTTGATTTCTTCTCTGTAAAATGACACGCTCCATCCCTGTGTTACGGTGGTAGCAGTGACAATGAAACGTGAAAACTCTGTGAAGAGCACTGTATCACAAAGTCAATGTCAGGTTAGTACTATTTCTGTCATTTCTGACATCATCATCTATCAATTTTAGCAAATGAAGCCAACAATGAAAAGGCACATGTGAGTCAAAGACAAAGCAGATAAAGCAAGAACTACTGGCACGCGGGACTTACGTCCTGCATTTGGGGGGCGCTGAAGACTGCAAAGGATGACAACTGAAAGGACTGAATCATGACCTGAGCAACACCCTGTGGAGCAGAATACAACACACCTCCCAGGTAAGAAGATATTCAAATGACTTTTTGTTAATGGAAAGAATCATTACACAAATGTTGAGTTTCTTGAGGCCCAGAACAAGTCACTTAACAAGGGGGGCCTCTTATCTATAAAATGAAGGATTTGAACTAGATCAGTAGTTTCCAAACTAGTTTGCTGCTGCTGTTTTTCAACTAGTAAAATCCTCTTTAAAAAACTCTTTTTAAAATCCTAGTTTTAAAAACATAAAAAGTGGTGCTGCTTTGCTTGAAGTAGAAGCAGCCTGACCCGGAGTCCTAGGACACTCATATTTATGCCAAACTCAAGAGTGCCTGGAACACAGTCTGAAAAGCCACTGAACTCAGATCAAATACATTCTAGTTCCATGACTGTTATTTATTAATTTTTTAAAAAAAGTTTAAAATGGACTCTGTAGAGTTATCAGGTTCCACAGCACGTTCATCAAAAGCAGCAACTACACAGAAATACTTTTGAAATTTCTTAATTATTAAATTTACAGAGAAAAATTTAGTCAGAAAATGCAGGCCAGCCCCCCGAAATTATATGAAAAATCACCAACAAAGTCCTATTACCTTGTAAGTTCATTAATTCATTCAAAGACAAATTCTCAGTTTCAACACTAGGGTCTGATATATCACTTTTTGGAATAAAAAAAAAGCTATCCATATTCCATTAAAAGTCAAAACCATATTGTTACTACCTGGCTTGAAATACAAAGTATCCCACAGTAGGGTGGTGGTCAGCAAGGACTGCTTTCTTCTTCACCGATTAATAGACATGGCCACCAACCACTACTAGGTCACTAGACTGATGAAAGTTCAGAGCAGGCAGAAAAGGTGGTTTAAACACCTAAGAGTCAAGCAGTATGATGTATTGGTCTAGTGCATGAACTAAGAGCTGCACTTGCCTGGATGCAAACCCTGGCTCTACCACTAACCAGAGGTGTGACGTTGGAGAGTCACTCACTATTCCTGTGCTTTAGTTCCCTCACTAGTAAAATGGGGTTAATAAGAGTAACTACCTCATAATTTGTTGGGAGATTAATGACTTAATACATGTAAAGCATTTAGAATAGTACTTGACCATCACAAATGTTGCATATGCTATTGTTACTGTTGTTGCTATGTGCTGTTGAGTCCGACCGACTCATAGTGAGCCCTCCTTGGGTTTCCAAGGCAGTATCACTACAGAAGTAGATTGCCCAGTTTTCCTCCCAAGGAGTGGTTGGTGGGTTTGAACCACCAGCCTTCTAGTTAGCGTCAAGTGCCTTAGGCACTATGCTACCAGAGCTCCTACTGGATCAAGATGAAATTTTTTACTAGTTCATGACAGGAAAAATAAAAACTAAGTTTATTAAAATACGCTAGTTTTATTAAATTTTGAAATTACTTTTCCTTAGTGTTAAAAATATTCTCCCATTTGAAATGATGATGACAAGCAAATGGCAGTTTTAAAATATTCTTACCTCGCAAATGAAAAAACTTGTAACGGTAATCTATTTGTCATGTTTCCCAATGGTTTTTATTATTTGTTTTTTTTTTGTTTGTTTGTTTTAATGGGTCTATGAAATCCAAAAGCCTAGGAACTACTTTTTAAGTCAATAAAATCACATCATAAAGATTATTCAAAGTAACAACTAATACATAACCCATGTCTCTTCTTCCTTTCACTGACATATTAATTAAAAATTGAGCTTACTTCTCTATCTTTGATTCCAGGCTGAGCGCAAATTTATTTAAAAAACTCACCCTTCTCAGAATAAAAGACCTTGTAAAAAACATGTGAAACAGTTCTAGGAAATTTTCTTGAAAATACTAATACTTTACCGTCTTTATTAGCTGTATCTATCATAACTTAGAATCAAGTTTCTTTAATTCTACATAGGTAAAAATCGTCTATTCTTTTAACTGCTAGATTTATACTTCCAACTCAGAAAGAAAAACGTGTTTCATATTTAAAACCTGGTTTTAGAGTTTTTTATGTAATCAAGTTTATAAGTAAAAAAATATTTGATTTACTATTTAAGGTTATCTTTTACCATTTTTCTTCTAATTTTGAACTTAACAGAAATAATGGCCTTTTAGTAAGTATTCTTTTCCTATGCACAAAGCTTATATTCTCACCCTCTATTTTTCTGCCCTAAAAGCCTTCTATCAAACACTGGCATTACTAAAAAACCATAAGCTTCTATGATATTAGTATCACGTAACAGTGGATTATACATTAACATATTTATTTCATCTGAAATCAGTTTCCCAAACATTCCACTTAATTCCATACTAACAGCTTAAATGTCACCATTAGTGTGAATTTAGAACTACATCAAAAATATCCTGGGTTCCTCTGAATGAGAAGAAGTCAACGTCACATAAGAATTGCAGTTAAATTTACCCTTTCGACCACGGCTTATTGAGCTGTGAGAATAATGCTGCTTTCTGTTTTTAGTAGCATTAAGCTGCTGCTGTTACCTGAGCATGCTGGCTTTGTGCAAGCTCCTCTTTCCTGCGTTTCATGAGCTCTTTTCTCAGCTCTTTGGGTGCTTTCTCCACTTCATTTATAACCTACAGTGTATAAGCATGCAGGAGGTGGGGAAATAATACTTTCTCCACAGCAAGCATTTTTGTGAGCAGACAAGCTACAAGTCAAATATTAAAGTTGTTAAGAGTTTTTGCAACATGCATTAGCACAGGTGTTAGTTTGGTGAAAAAGAACGAAAGGACAGAACATGCTTGATCTCAGTGCGGAAAGAGACATTACACCATATAGTTGCTTAATTATCCCTATTATCATCTTCTCTCTTAAAGGTCCAATCAGTGAAGAACAGTTGCAATACTGATGCTGAACTAAATGTGATAAACTCAACTGACCTTCTTGAAAGATCGTAAAATGACAAACATATCATTTGACACTGCTTGAAATATTGAAAATAAAGAAAGCTAATGCCATTTTAAAAAGTGTAAAATTTCATACATGGCTTGATAATACTAAAGAAATAATTAAAATGTAATTCACCTAATGAAATTAAAAAGAAGGGGAGGGAAAGACAAACCTTAAAATATACGTAAGAAAAATAAATGAATACTGAATTTTGGTTTTTTTTTTCCCCACAAAACACACCATTATTTATACAGTGTGGTAAAAATGAGTATAAGTAATTTTGTGTAGGATAATAATTTCCTTTGCTGACAATTTAAGCAAGCTTGTCAACTTTTAATTTGATAATATAAGCACTCTTAAAATAAGTTTAGTAGGCTGTGATTTACACCAGATGAAGTATAATATAAAATATACTTTAGAGCTCCTCCTTTTTCACATTTCAAAATTCTAGATGTGTGCTCTAACAATAGGTCTGCAATTTAACTACGACAAATATTCATGTGTTTACAAGTAGAAGCACCAAAAGAAACCAGATTCCAAATCACCACATGGTCTGTGAAAGAGACTGATTTTGATTTAACACAGGGTATTTAAAATTTCCCACCAGTAACCCCCCATGAAACCAAATCACCATTAAAAGGAAGAAACTCCCCAAATGCAAGAAGTTTAGTGATAAGAAAAAAAACATAATTATTTAAAATATGCACATCATGATCTCAACACATTCACTGACTAAAACTCTCCTACCCAGCAACAGACAATATAACTAGAGAATTCTATGTATCTAGGATTAAATTGTTAATCCAGAAATTTTATTGCATTTAATCTGATATAAAGAATAACCTCTTAATAAAAACTACTCATGGTTTTAAGAAAATTAGTAAGTAGTCCCAATAAAGTCATACATCATAGTATATACAGCACTTCTATATAAAACGTAATGAATAACAAAACCATAATTTTTAGAAATGGTAGCCACATAAAATAAAATTACACCCCATTTCATTTCTCTCTGTAAAAAGAAACTAAAATGCACTGTATTTATCAGTGTTAAGTAGATCCTTAAGATTCAGCAATATGATGTTCCATTTTCTTCATAATTTACAAGTTAATGTAAATAAATCTGAGCATCTGAGATGTGTAACAAACATGAAAATACATGTAGTAGCTCAGCTGAGATTTATTTTGTTCTAACCCTAAAAGAACTGATAATCATTATTATCCCTAGAGTCAATACCATGAAAAGGTAAATCCTTCTCCTACACTGACAATGTAGAATAAATCATTATCTCTGAAAAGTGCTTATACGTAAAGTTGTCTTATTTTTATTTTAATTTAGACAAAAAGACACACTAATATGTAAATCCTCCTCTGAATCAGTGATAATCCTTTACAGTAAATAACACTATAAAGCGATTCTTTAACAATATGGAACAGTTCAGGAAAAACAAAAAAACTCAGAATCAAGTGACTTTACAGGTATTTTCTACTCATGACTATAGAAAGCACCTCACAATGTGATGAACTTATAGATATTATCTCAAATTTCAGGCTACTCAGGCTTTGTTTTGGCAAAATGTCCAAGAAAGGCAATCAATCAAGCTAATCAAGAGAAACAAATTATTAAAAGTATGAACTAAAGATGATAAATAATAAATGATAAAATGAATTAGTGCTGCTGCCTTCAAACACAACATAGTAAGTTTTCTGTTAAAAACTATTTCTATATAAGGCTTTAAATTTTGCATTAATAAAGGAGAAATGGTAGAATGGAAGAAAGATGGATTAGACTCAATCTGAAGATTGGTTCAAGGTTTACCTGGTACTTACTAGAAGCTTTGTAAACTAGAGCAAGCCCCTTAAACCTCTCTCATTCCAGTTTTCTTGGCAATAAAATGGGGATAATGACTGGGCTTACTACTACCCTATATGACACTTGGGAAGACTGAATGAGATAACAAATGAGATAATCCTAAGTATACATGAAAATAGCTCTAGTAATTAAAATCAGTAGTTACGCTTACCTCCTTCTTTCGATTCTTTAGCACATTCTGAAATTTGGACAGCTCTTTCTCTTGTTCCCCTTTAATGCGTTTGGCTTCATCTCGCAAGCGATTTGTGTGTTCTTGTTCTAGACGTTCAATGGTCTGTTTCTGCTGTTTTTCTAGATTCTCAATTTCTTGGTCATATTGTCGCTTTTTACTCTGTGAAACAATGTAGCTCAAGATTATTTCACTTTCTATCACACATATTTCATTATACTAAAGATACATACTAAAAGCACCTAACTAGCACTTAAATTTAATGATGTGATATAACTTATGTAATACCGAAGAAGTCAAATTTAATTCCTCACTACTCAGCTCAAGATACACTAAAATACATTAAGAAATTCTTCAAAAAGATTAGCAGTTCATTTTTTTTAACATGGAAAATATTTTTTCTATTATACAAGTAAAAGAATTCTCAATATTTTATGCAAAACTAGAAAAATATCCAGTTGCTATAAAGTATTAAAGTAGGAGGAAAAAATGTCTGTATTTATGCAATAAAAATTTTGATTAAGCAAAACCTTACTTGAAGTCTATTTTAATAATATAAAATTACTTGCCATTTTCAAGTCTACTCTTTCTGCTTAAGTTTTTTAAAATAAATACCTATTCCATTGAAACAAATCTTTTTGGTATAAATCTCTTTCAACAACAAAAATTTCTGATTACATAACAGTAATACTGCAATTTTGGTATAGGTAACTATTTGGAAAGGGCAGTATCTTCTAAAAATAACACAAAAACTAAAACATTTTAGAATGTTTTGGAGGGAAAGGGGAACAGTGCTGATAAGGTTCTGGAAAATCCACTATAAGTATTGTAAAAATACTCGGAACAAAAGTATTTTCTTAGGAATTCTGAGTTATGATCCAACAAATATAGTAACAATGCCACAGTTAGCATAAAACAAGACTTGTTACTTACAATTTCAAGTACAGCAAAAGGACTATATTCAAAACAAAAATACCGTAACATAAAAAATGTGCTAAATGTTCAACAGACGTTATCAGAATTTTAAATCACAACCATATCCTTTTCTGACTCTGGGCAAGACAAAAACTGAAGGGGTTCAGTGACAATTACCCTAGACTCATCAGCACTATTTTCTCCAGCAGCTCTCAATAGAGAAGTGACTAGTGATATCAAGACTTGGATGGAAGATTCTTTCCAGTGAAAAGGACCAAAAAAGACAGCTAGACCACCAAAGAGTTTAAGTAAAGGCCAGGATTATGTCACAAAGCCAGAGAAGCCTCAGGAATCAGTGAACAAACTCGAAAACCTGCTAGTGCTTTTCGGTTTCACTTTGTTTTTTAAGCACTAAAATTCATTTACAAAGTGGTACAAAAATCTAAAGACTTTACCATCATTTCTTGCTCAAAGCGCCGGAAAATTTGTTCTCGCTGTTGCTGCAGTTTACTGTTGAGCTGCTGCTGTGCTCTTTGCTCTTCTTTTTGAAGAAATCTTAATTCCCGGAGCTCCTGACGTCTGAAAAAATGTATTGGTGATGAGAAAGAAAGCAAGTATCTTTGAAGTAATGCTAAAAAATAACATATTTTTTTTTTAAATAGAAAAGTAATGAAAGAATGACACAAAATTAGCCAGTAATTTACCCTGGTTTTCTCTATTCTCTAGACTTCATAGAGACCAGAAAAAAGTCATAAATACAGTTTTAATTATGCTGTTTCTCTACTCACCTAAGAAACCTCAGCTCTTCGGTTTTGGAATCACTATCTGTAACTATCTTTGATGTTGTTACACTCACTTCTACACCATCAACAACAAATTTGCGTGTCTTCTTCAATGTTTTCTTTTGTCTTCTTGTTTCCTGAGTCAGATTTTATTTTAGTTAGTATTTATAGGGAAACACTAGAGGTAAAGAACATATTCTTTAAAAAACTGAACAGCTACAAAGACGATAAACAAGACATGTACAAAGTATTATAATAAAGCAGTAACATTCATCGGCAGAGGAGCCCTGGAGGCAAGATGGGTAAGCACCTGGCTGCTCATCTAAAGGTTGGTGATTCGAATCCACCCAGCAGTGATCTGCTTCCATAAAGACTACAGCCAAGAAAACCCGCGGGGAGTTCTACTCTGTCAGAGGGCCACTGCCAGCTGGAACTGACTCAGCAGCACCCAACAAGTACTACTTACCTGTAGAGCCAATTATGTCACCTTAAATCTTGTCTCCCTTACCCGATTTACAAACGAGTTCAAATAAAACTTTTAAGAAGTGAAAGCATCCAGTTTAATTATGCAATTACATGTAACTTTTACTGTACCAAATAATAATTAGGCACAGTGATAATGAGCAATTCACACAAAAGACTAATGAGTATATTTTTACATACAATTTTTTTCTTTCTCTTTTCACTTTGTAAGGTCTCAGGTACCTCTGTTTTTCACAGTTTTCGAATCACTGACAACACTTAAATTCCTGGGGCTCAATCCTTAAAGACTCTAAATCAGTAAATCCGTAGATATCTGGAAATCTAGATTTTGAAAAGTATCCCCAGCTAATTTTTAAATACTGCCAGGACTAGGAATCAATAATCTATTTAACTAGCAATAATATCAACAGCCCTCCTTCATCTCCAGTTATGAGAAAGACAGCATCTCTACTATCCTCCAAAACTCCCAGACCCCCTGCTAGCTAATGGCTAAAATTCTTTTCCAAGGCCAAACTTTTCATTCTTCAGCTGGTATCCAAAAGCTTTTAAATGCAAAAGAAGTGTAAGAGCTCTTCAAATACATCATGGTACATGAGAATGGTTTAGGGTTGGGGATGGTAATGGGTTAGTGAAACCAAATGTACATGAAATGTCAAATGTAAAACAAACTCTCCTCTGTAAACTTGCACCTAAAGCACAATAAAAAATAAAAGTAAAAAAGAAATACATTGTGGTATACAGGTAAGCACTGAGAGCAGATAATTACTTGTTTTGATATGAGTGAAGGAGTCAGAAAGGGGAAAAAAGAGTGGCAAGTGAAAATACTAAACTCAAAACGCATAAAATTTTAGTTTGTCTTTGACACCTTCAGTCCCCTTTCTGCACATCCTCTTACTCTATTCTTCAGGCTTTCAGCATCCTCATGCTTTCTGCCTAAGCCCGTGGGACCCTACACAGGCCTGCTCTAAAATCCAGTCGGCATGTTTCAAAAAACAGATCAACCTCCACTTACCTTGCAAACTTTCCATTTATTCAGTAAAAATATCCATGATTAATATCCTTAATCCTCATGAAAGTATTTGCATTTTTAAAAGCGCTATTAAACCAACTGAATGAATTTTAGGTTTGTAAAATTTCAGTCAGTTAAACAAAGTAAACTAAACTAATACAACAAGAAGGAACCTCAGGTAATATATGTAATATTTGGGGCAGATAGGCAGGCTGATCAATCATGCCCTAGAGTCCTGCTCCAAAGGTCAGTTTTTCTGGGTTACTTCTACTTTTCACAGTCTTCTCTTGTGCTACTTAAGACTCTCTAGGAAGTACTTTTACAAAGAGTAGTCAATGGTTCGCCTGTATCAGAATTCCATGGGATCTTTTATTACAAAAAATCCTTGGGCCCTACCCCACACTTAAATATAGCTCCCCTTGGTAATTCTTAAGCACACTCAGATTTGAGAATTTTGATAATTATATTCTAAAAGCTCAAAGTATTCTGAGCTTTAGTTTTTGGTTTTGTTTCCCCCAGAATGGTTCTCACGATGGTCGCAACAGCTGTGACTGAGGCAGCAAGAGTGGTCATTTACATGGGCCAGTGGTAAATCAAGAAGTGTTTATTCCTAAAAGTTCTTAAAAAGAGATCATTCTTTCAATTTCTCAATTATTTCATATATTACCGATTTTTTACTAAAATAGTCTCCAAACACGTGCAGTAACAGAACCCAAATCAGCCAGCTAAGTGCCAACTCTATACTATTTATCAATACCACGCTGGCAAAATGAGGCCCCAGCACCAGTTACCACCGAGTCCATGTGACTCAGGTGACCCTGTGTGTGTGGGAGCAGAGCCGTACTCCAAAGGGTTTCCAGTGGCTGGTTTTTTGGAATTAAACCACCAGGCATTCCTTCTGAGGCACTTCTGGGTAGACTCACACCATCAACCTTTCAGTTAGGAGTTAAGCATGGAGGTCCTACCAAAAAATTTTAAAATTACATCCAGACTCTCTCTCTTTTGCTCTTGTTAATTCATTGTCTCTACAGGCCTTAAGAATTTTATAGTTTCATACTGATTTAGTGCTGCTTTATTTTCAAGGTATCAGTTCATATAAACTCTAAATTGCCAAATGACAGAGCAAAAATAACCCAAACAAGGACCCATGTACACTTACTTGTAAAGATATTGATCCACTGTCTTTAGTTTTACTTAGGAAACTAGAGATGGATAAATTCAAGTCAATGCTGCTATTATCAGCAGTAGAGCCAGTGCCTGAATCGGTATCATTTTCTTTTTGATTCTCAGATTCTGGTAGCAACATGGTTTCAGTTTTTGATAAAGCACCTATTTCTCCTTTATCTTCTACATCTTCAGAGTTGACATTAATACTAGGTACTGGGACAGGCTGAGGTTCATTGGGCTGTGAAGCTGCAGGAACTTGAGGTTCTGTTTTAATTGGCACTTCACATGGGATTTCTTCTTGTTTCATATCTATCTGAGCAGTGCCTTTATGAACACCCCCAGTTTCACTTCCTATAGTCTTCTGATCAGCATCAATCACTGCACTTCTGACCTCTATTTCTTCAGTGTTACTTGATTCAGTAATTTCCTCAACTTCATTTGTCCCTGGTTCCTCCCTGGTCTCCAAAATGTTCTCTGAATTGTTGCCTAATTGTTCCTTATTTTTACCTTCTAAAGATGTTTGATCTATCTCATTAGTTTCAATTATTTCATTAACAGGAACCTCGTCAGTGCCACCAGTCTCAGGACCCTCCTTGGGCTTACCTACTAATTTCTCATCTACTTCAACCACTCCTTTCCCATCATTTGTCTGAGCATCCTCAGCTTTGTTTTCAACTGTCTTCTGAGCAACATCTACCACCTCATTTGTTCTCACCACATTGTTTAGATCGCTGATCACATCTTTTTCAGTTTTGTCATCTTCTCCCAGTTTCTCTTGGGTGTCTTTCTTTATAAGCTTAACTTCATTACCAACTGCCTGAATATCTACCTCTTTTTCTCCAGTCTCTTGAGAAACTAAATCCACTGTCGGAATAGCAGTATCATTAATTTCTTCAGCTTTCATAAGCTTATTTTCAAATGTTGGTTGCTTTTCTTGACCTCTTTCCTCCTCAGGTTTCAGATTATGTTCAAAATTTGTTTCTAGAGTTAGTTCTACATTACTCTTTTCTTCTTCGTTGACCGAGCTGACAGCCACAGCTTGCCGGGGTTCTGTGTCAGGCAGATCTTCAAGCTTGGGTCTCTTTTCCTCTCTCCCATTCTCTTCAATTAGTGTTGTGCTATTTTGGAATTCAATCATAGCTTCTGAATGAGCATCATTAACATGTTCATTAATACCCTCCACTGCTTTTTCAATTTCATCAGTGGTAGGTTTTTCATCAAGAATTTTGCCATTAAATTTATCTTCAGAAGTATTACGTTCTGTTTTTTCTGAGACAGATTCCAAAATACAAGCATTTTGTGAAAGTTTATCCTCTTCAGAGCTGGCAATACTAAGGTCAGATGAAGCACGCTTACTTGCAGGTATTGGCTAAAAAAGATTTTAATACATAAAAAAATGATCAATAAATAGTCACTGGATGACCGTGTGTGTGTGTGTATACACACACACACATATATACACACATATACATACATATTTAGTGTGAAATCATGATCTCAAGATGGTAACACAGTGTGTGTGTGTGTATGTGTGTGTATATATATACTATACAAAATATACTATTTTAAATATATTATGATTATATATAATCAAATATTAAAGATATGATTTAATATTTTTATTTAGTAAAACTTGTTGATGTTATAAAAATAATTTAAAGAATTGAAAAATCCTCATATAATGAATAAAATGAAAATGGGTAGCAAGGAGCAACCTTGCTATTAAGCTTTGTCTCTAAACTTAAAGGTTTTCTCTTGGCATCCATCAATTAATCCTTAGCTACAACTGCAACCACTCTGTCCTGTAAGCTGGAATCAATTAGATGGCAAAAGGTTTTAGGCTCCACTTCAACTGAAGAACAGGGGGTTCTAGTTAGCAACTAATAGCAACAAAAGGCTCATAATTTATGCCATGTTTCCACTTTAAATTATTTAAATAGATGACAAAATGTTTGCAAAGATATTTGTAAACATGTTTATAAACATGTCTATAGTCCAAACCATTTAATAACTATGTATTTAAGACAGAACATAAAAAATTTAAACGTAATATGTCTATAACAGTTTTCAAATATTCCATTGGTAAAAGTTCCTTTTAATCATTAAAATATTAATTTTAATTAATTCTTTCTCATGCCACATATAATTTACCTTATGTTTAAATAAACTTTAAAAGTAAACAGTATTCTCTGTAAACCTTCACCCAAATCACAATTAAAAAAAGTAAATAGCATTCAATATTAAAAGTATTATACAATTAACAGAACATGAATTTAAATAATCCTTTAAGTAACTACAAAAATTGCCTAAATGAAATTTCCTTTCTAAATACTGACCAGAGAATTTTCTGTTTCCTCATCATCATCATCTTCTTTGCCATCTTCAACTTCTTCTGTTACCTCGGCCTTTGCCTCTGCAATCAGTTCTCGGATTGGTTTGTTGGAATCAACAGTAACAAAGGGATGCTGTTGATTATTAAAAAGAGGATACTCAAGTAATTTCCAGACATAAAATACACATTCCTAATGTAGAAACTCTACAGGGTATCTCTACTCTGTCCTATAGGGTTGCTGTAAGTTGGAAATGACTTGACAGCAACCAGTTTGGTTTGGAATGTGGTATACTAATGTGAACATGTTATTGTCATTGTTGTTATGTGCTGTCGAGTCAGACCTGACTCACAGGAACCCTTCCTTGGGTTTCCAAAACAGTATCACTACGGAAGTAGATTCCCCAACCTTCCTTCCAAGGAGTGGCTGGTGGGTTTGAACTGCCAACCTTTTGGTTAGCAGTCAAGTCCCTTAGGCACGATGCTACCAGTGCTCCTAATGTGAGCATACACATAGGAAAAAAACATAAAAACCTTAGATATTTCCTCTGGTAAGGGAAGGAGAGAAAAGGGACTAGGCAGGGATAGAGCTGCCTGCAATTTTATCTGTACTTTCTTTTAAAGAAGCTGAAGCAGACATATCAAAGTGATAACACTTGTTAAATCTGGGTAGTGGGTACATATACTTTCATATGTTTGAAAATTTCACAATCTACTCGTGAAAATCCACCACTCATCTGTCAGTCTGTCGTACTGTGCTGACTTGCATGTTACTGTGGTGCTGGAAGTTATGTCACCAGTATTTCAAACACCAGCAGGATTACCCATAGTGGATAGGTTTCAGCAGAGATTCCAGACTAAGATAGAGTAGGAAGAAGGACTTGGAGGCCGACTTCTGAAAAAAGTGGCCAGAAAACCTTATGAATAGCAGTGGAACATTGTGTGATACAAGGTTAGAAGAACAGCCCCTCAGGTTGGAAGAACTCAAAATATACCTGAAGAAGCTGCCTCCTCAAAGGTGAATCGACCTTAATAATGTGGATAGAGTAAAACTTTTGGGACCTTCATTTGCTAATGTGACACAACTCAAAATGAGAAGAAACAGCTGCAAACATCCATTAATAATTGGACTGTAGAATGTACACAGTATGAATCCAGGAAAACTAGAAGATGTCAAAAATGAAATGAACACATAAAGATGGATATCCTAGGCATTAGTGAGTGAAAATGGACTAGTATTGGCCATTTTGAATTGGATAATCATATGGTCTACTAATGTTTCAGCTCTTTCCCAGTCCTATTTTGAGAGCCTTTTAACCTAAATGGACTACTACTAAAG